TTAAGACAATAATATTTAGCAATCAATCGAAGACAATAATATTTAGCAATCAATAACTATGCTTTGTAGCGTCATTAGGTTATTTTGAAGCAGGAGTACCTGAGAAATTCCGGGACTCGAACCTGGACCTCTCGAATAAGCGCCGAATATGCAACCGTTACATCAAGAAGGCATGCCGAAAGAAAGGCTAAAAAAATACCTTACATATTTCCCCTTTTAAAGAGCGACTGGGGTTTAGGGGACCCAATCCTAATCATCTTTCATCTTTTAGTTCAGGCACCACTCTAGAGATATTAGCTTTATTTTATGGCGGGGAAGGTGAAAAATGAGTACTGCCGTCGCCGGGACTCGAACCTGGAACTCTTGAATACGCGCCGAGTGTGCTATCGTTACACTACGAAGGCATATAGAAAGGAGGGAGAAAATACCTTATAGCTTTCCTGTACGTGAAATATCTCTGATTTCTCAGAACCCATTTATTCAACATTTTACAGCTGCTAACTCCAAGATTAGATTGTATCACTGCTCGGTGTTAAATGCTGATTTATATATTACCATGCAATGAATTTACAAAAGAAACATTGAAATAAAAGACAGTTATATCACACTGCAAGCAGAGATTTTATTTTTATAATAAATATACAACTTTTCTAAGATATACAAATAAATAAAATAAATAAAAAAAGAGTTTAGACAATGATGAACAGTTTATCAAAAATACATGAATGACATGTATAAAGAGGACAACACAAAACAAGGTAATTAATTACACAGGCGTATGGTCCAACATAAAATAAGTCAAATATATAGACATATGGCATGACAAGATTTCTCATATAATTAACAATGATTACATATTAAATATGTTCATTAAAATATCCATGGGAAATACTACATTTAACAGTGTTTCTGTGTTATGTTATCATTTAGTAAAAATGATAATTTTATTACGTTCATTTAGTAAAAATTGTAAAAATCTGTCTAATAATTTTGGTTATTGTATTATGTTTTTATAGACACAGAAGGTCGTGTAATATTGTAAAATCTTTTAAGAAAGATATTATGTCACGGATGAGTGCACATTTCTAGGAAATAAAACCCCTTAGATCCAAATTAAGTGAGACCACAATCCATCCGGATTTTCCAAAAAATCCATGTACTGTGAACGAACGCTCTTCAAGACAACTACCCAAATTTAGTTTAAATATCACGCTGAATTACAACTTCAAGAATTACAACAAAGTCCAACATTAAGAATCAGCCTAAATTTTTTAAAAACATTTTTGTAGTATTAGTTTTGATAGTTTTTGAACTACCTTATTCAGCTGCTATCTTTAGCATTTTCAGCAGCATTCTTTAGCAGCTGAAGATGGTAGTTCAAAAACTATCAAAACTAATACTGCAAAAAAAAAAAAAAAAAAAAAAAAAAAAAAAAAAAAAAATTTAAAAATTTAAGCTGATTCTTAATGTTAGACTTTGTTTTTGATTGACCTACCCAAATTTTGTTCGGTAACTTCAAACACACTACTTGCTAAAAATATTCTTCCAATGAAACCTGCTTAATACTTTAACGAAATCTGCAAATTTTCTTATGCCAAATTACCAGCAACATCGTCAAGTAACTTTTAATTGTATCTACACCAAGAATTCTTTTGATTTTTGTCCTGCAGATTTTTTAATAAAGTTACTTAAATATATTACATAAGAAGAATCACTGAAAATGTTTTAGATTTAAACACAAAACGTGTGCATACGTTTAACTAATTGTACAATCACCCAATTAATTGTTGCACAATAAATACAACCGATCACGATAAATTAAAAAACAAAAACCGACTATCTTGGTGCACTTGAGCATTGTCACTATTTGCTAAACGTTACTAGCTGCATAGAGAAAAAAAAAAAAAAAAAAAAAGGGGGGGAGGGGGGATAAACGAATTTGGGAATGTGATGAATTATTAAAAAATACTTGTCTTATAAGCGTCGAATGAACAGTGGCTCACATCGACCCTTAGACTCATCTTCAGAGGCAATCGCTTTCAAAACTGGGACGGAAATAGGCCGAGTCGTACTGTCACTCTGGTGGCAACGACAGAACGTAGTCCTGTGCTCTTAACCACAATCAAATTTGTGTACTTCACATGATAGTTCTGTCAGACAAGTGAGATAAGGTTCCAGAGACATCAGGCTATTTCAAGCAGGAGACCATCAATAGAGCAACTGCACCATCATTACTACTTTCAGCTTTTGTGCTCTATTGATGGAAACTAACTCCCATACCCTATCAGTGGCATTTATTTGAAATAAAAATTTAAAAAGTTACAATGGTTGTGCAAATATACATATGACATACAGAGACATATTATACAGGTCTTGTGGTGTTTACATAGATGGCAATGTTTACAAGCTCTAGCAAATATTTAGAGATTGTTACTTAATGAAAATTTATGTTAATGATTTTTATACACATTTTGAGATACGAAATTATATAAAATGTCATTATACATTTTAAAGAATTTGACATATATAATTAGAAATAATTAAGCCAAATTAAAAAAGAATGAACAAACACTAAAATAGAATAACATTAAATAATTTAGAAAAATGTAAAATCAAACTAGATATAATATTAAAGATATACTAAAAGTAAATAATAATTGAAATAATAAAAATGTTAACATCTTATATTAAATAATCTTCTAACAATAATCTTATAGTTAAGGAAAAATTTTATATTATGAGAAAGAAGTATTATAATTATAATAAGAAAATAAAAAGGAGTATTATAAATGTATTGAAGAAAAAATATTCAAGGTAAGTGCTAAGAGAAGAAGGTGTAAATTGAAAAATGAAAAACTTGGAAAAGATGATTAATATTGAACCACTTTTTTTAAATGCTGAAATATTACAGCTATCTTGATAACTAAAGTACAGAATTAACTACAACACTAATACTCATAATACAAAACTATAATAAAGATAATTAAATGTAAATGATGTAAGGATTAACAGAATTGTTATTATCAGTATATGAAGCAGGAGACACGAAAAATGACTATGCCCTCTCCGGGACTCAAACCACGGACTTCTCGAATAGGCGTCAAGCGTGCTGACCACTATATCACGTAGGCACGTTAAGAAGCTGGGTAGTGTGGTGTGGTGGTGTATTTAATTATGGCAAAGCACACTAGGGCTATCTGCCTAAGGGAAGGGATGCCTTCCTGGAGGACTTTCTAAGGGAAACTGGCTCGTATACATGTTACACATGGGGAAAACCACGAAAACACCCATGCAGGCAGCCCGTTTGCGGAATTCGAACCTCAGACCGAACTACCAGTGTTCAGCGACTTTACCGCTCGGCCGCTGGTGGGCGCTAAGAAGCTGGGAGAAATACCTTATAAGGTTTAACGACTTTCAGTGGGATCGCCTACAAGAGATGATTGCGATGACAGGATCCATTATAATTGAGATGCCGTTTTCCTTCCTGTTAGCCATATTATGTAACTTCATGTAAAGAATTTTATAAATGCATTTTATTTTGACAGTAACTTTACGGTTAAAAAATATACTACTCAAAAAAAAAAAAAAAAAAAAAAAATTGATTTAATTACGTCAATTCGTTAAAGTTTACAAAATATGAAATCGATAAAAAAAATTCCAAATTGAGGTCTTCCACATGCCCATATTCGTAAGAGGTCGTCATTCAAATGTGGCTCTAGGTACGTTGTTTTATCACATGGAGAAATAATATACATTTATACAGATTTTTCATTATTTAATTTCTTCAACTATAATGCAGGGCTCTAACATTTTGTGGCAAAAATTTGAAAAGTGATTCACCTTATTGTAATTCAACGCAAGATCGCAAAACGAAAACAATAGTCTTTCAGGGACAAAGCCCCTTTGGACTAAAAATCGCATTTTATCTTTAATAATAAGTAATCCTCCCCCTTCGCTCTTAAAAAACATGAAGTATATTAAAAGGCTAATGTAAAGTAAGCTACTGTGGTTGCAAAATGTAAGGGGCGTAATGATTGTAAAGGCAAGTATTGGTTTAATTATCTCATAAATAATGCGGTTTCTTCAAATGAATCAAAAGAAAAGGAAACCTAGAAGGAGGGGGTTGTGACAAACTGCCTGCATTAACTTGCTATAAAAGCAGATTTTACCTTGCTCTTTTTTGTTAATGCAAGTTCTGAAGAATGCAGTCGGATTTTAACAGTTATTTTCCAAAACTGAATGGAAGCGACAAAGGAGCACCTTCGGCTATTTTCCTTTATGAGTTCAGTTAAATAATAACTAACAGGAGTATTAGAGCAGTATATTATGATCGGACAATACGTTTAAGGCCAATGCAATAGTGGTTCAGAATTCTCTCGCCGGAAACTACGGCTTAGAAGACGAGCCTCTTCCTGGAATTTCTGTAAAGCTCGATAAGAACGCTTTGCAAACCATGGTGGAAGATAATCCCATCTTAACTATTAGGAACTATCAGATGATGGTTTCTAATAGTATCTCTAAGATTCAGAAGAAACATTGTTTATCTTAATTTTGAAAAATAAAAGAAATATAAAAACCGCATTATTTATAGGATGACCCAATACAGCGTTTTTTTACAAAGTCCCGGACCCATTTTGATGTTTAATAACTCATAAAATAATGAAGATATAAACAAACTTATGGCATTTATTGATGGAATACTTATATATTTTCTTTTTCAGTTGATTCTTATTTGTAAATATCGCCTGCTCGTGGGGTTAATTTCAGTAATTTCATTTTCCATCTACTATCTGTACTTTCGAAATATCGTCGCTTATTAATTGCATTTTTCTCTCTTTTGTTTTTGCAACTATTGAATGTTATGGACTTTCCTTTGGGGATTTGGAAAGGAACCTTTACAGGAGGAGAGTGCGAACATGGATGCCTAAAAGCCATAATTACAATCGCAATAGCCTCTGTGGATGCCGACTGCTTGCCGTACCTGGCGTAAAATGAATATCGACTTGATATCTCCGTGCGACGAAGAAGGCACCGTGGAATTTCATGACAGGGAACATGAAACTGTTGAGTCTATCTGACCATTTATGTTATTAATTTTAATCTATCTTTATTATTTTATGAGTTATTAAACATCAAAATGGATCCGGGACTTTATAAACACCCTGTATTTCAAGTCAATTTAATGTCGTACTCATACATCTAAATTAATTTATCATATTCTGAAAAATATGTACCGTACTGAATTATTTTTACGTAATTTAAATAAAGGGAAGGAAAAATAAAAACACGTACATAAATTAATAACGGACATAAGATCCGGATAATTGAATTTTCAGATAATTTGAGTTTACTATACAAGATTTGAATGCAAGAAGAGTTTTAGTATTTAGAATAAAAAAAGATGCATGATGGCTCATGAAATTATCACAGGTTTTTTTAATATGCATCAGTTTCTGTGAAACGATGTGATTCTAAACTCAAAAAGATTACAAGTCAAGTCACAATACTTCTAAAGCAATGAGATTATTTGTTAATGAAGCCAACTTTTCTTATACAATAACAGATTCTTAACATCTGAAAGCATAAAATGGAACACTTATAATGCTAAGTGATACTTTCTCAAGATTTCACAATTTATCAAAATTGCAACATTGTATAGATGAAAAACATTTTCAAATTTTCAAGCAGAAAGACGTCTGGTACAAGAAGGCATTTTAACGCATGATAATGTTTCGAAGGTCTTCGAAAACTGCAATTTCTGTCTAGTAGTCCACGCTTTTTTTCTTCTCGCGGTATTTCTTTATCAAAGGTAGGTTTCAGCGAAACATTTCTTAGGCATATAGTTAACCATTATGTCGAGTTAATTGCCAGTAGTCATAAAGCATCAGGTAATGCACAGGTTCATGCTCACGTTTCCAAAAACATTCTTCTTCTTTGTACCTGCAGCACAATTGAAGGTAGTGATTACTTGCCTGCATCATATTCCGTTAACTGTAGAAGATTGCGTTCAAGCACTAACGTTGGCATGAAAATGGTCGTTTGCAAGAATCAATAAATGCAGCTGGTAATAGTCTTATTGATTTCTTTTAACTACTCAAAGCAGCTTCTGATTGAATGCTCAAACATTAACAGGTGGGAAGCATAAGCATGGAAGTTATTGCCAGTGAAAAGAATGGGACGCTTTTAAGACCGTAAATGCTAATATTTTTTCAGCTTGATTGTATCAGGATTCTAACATTTACAATAGCAGGATCAGTAACTGCTTTTAATTGTATGGCGTGTTAAAAATTGTCCTGCTATAGCAATGTCATAATTGATATGTAAAAGTATGATGTAGATATATAGAGTCACATCATTTATAAAGAGTTATATCGGCGTGATCAGTATCTACGCTTTGGTGCGTCTGGGTTCACACAATATCAGTGTTCAGCTTCTGTATCAGCCATTGGATTATCAGATCCCTCCAGATTATGAAGAAGTCCATGATGATAATTTTAAACTTAGTACATGGCGAATAAAAGTGTTGGAAATATGCCCAAGGAACATCTGAAAATGACACCATGGCCATCTTGCACAGGGTTTTGCGAAATGATACAGTGTCTCAGTTATTGACAAAAACAAAGTGATTAGAAGATATCAGAATCAAAAGTATTTTTCAGAAGTTCTGCGTAAGTAGAGGTGGGTCCTCCTTTGTTTAGCACGATTTCAGAAAGCTCCTAATTTAAAATGTCCGCTGTCTTTGATGATTGCAGCATATTACTGAAATATACAGTTAGCCAAAAAGTCCTTTTAAACCTGAAATACTAAATGCATATAAAGGTAAGGGATTTAAGACCTGAACTTCCGATTCTGACCATTCATACGGCAACAGTGCTCTTCACGTGAATTTCAACGGGAATGCCAAGTGACTGCCCGGGAAGTAGACTTTATGATGCCTTAATTTTGTAGCTCCATATCATTTCGCATTTGCCGTTCGTAAACGCCTGAGTGAACTATTCCCTGGACGTGGATAGGATATCGATTCCCAAATTCACCAGTCCCTTATCCTTGACCGCCTCGAACTTAAGACGGACAATATCCTGTGGGAGATCATGAAATCATAAGTCAGGAAGAAGCTATATTTGGACAATGATACTTTGCGGACAAGTGTGCTTGAAGCCTTCCAGCATGTGACACCGCAGCTGCTAAAGCAGATGAGTAGGAGGACATTAAGGCGAATCAAACTGTGCAGGGATAATGGTGGTCCACCCACAGATGACTGGACAAATAACTGTAAGTGTTATTAAAATTATAATAAAATAATTGTATGCGTAAAGAGACCTTTCTGACCATCCTATAGTGTGGCTGCTTATTCAGTCAATAAGCGTGGTAGTCGGTACGCATTTAGGTTTTCATTGTAACAACAGAATAGAGTAGACGCTTCTAGCTCAGTTAAATAGTTGTAAAACATTGACTACTTTTTAGAGTCTGGATACTAGTATCATCTAATATAAACCGTAACGCATGAAACGACCAATGCAGACTGTATTATGGAGACTACTGCTTCCAAGCACGATAAATTTAGTTGTAAAAGTTCGCTGCAGTGGACTCATTGGAAAGTAGACTACTTGATAGCCTGACCAACAGCTGAACTGGTGTGAGCTTTGTTGGGGACGTTATCATCTTTGACATCTGTTTTCAGTATTTTCTGAAATTAGTTCTTTTCTAACGACGAACTTGCTTTTCCATATTTATAGATTTTTATCAAATTTTTTATTGCTTAATAACAGATCTAAATTCTTTGTATGACGAGATTTCTCGTTATGGCAGAATTCACTTTTTCTCTTCTGAACTGTAGGTGACGTTTGAAAGTGTGCAGAACATTGCTAATGAATCACATAATTACTTGTCATTAAATCGAAAAATGAAAATGAATTTAAGGCCTGAATTTGTGATTTTTTAAAAAACTGTTACCTTGTGTATTACAAATGAAGCAGCAAAACCATTTCAGCATTAAAATCCACAATTTAATCAAGTCATAGAAATATTAAGGAAAGATTAAATTTTGTGCCATTTCTTAATGAAGTTCTACAGTTTGTCTCCACTTATGTCTGATATTTAAATGCATTAAAAATGGGGTAAAATCGTTCTACAGATTCTACACTTTTATACACCATTTCTTTGAATAATATTTTCTGTATGTTTAAAATTGAGCCACAGTTAGAATATTTAGAATACGGTTAACAGTAGCGCTTTTCCACTAAGCTTTTTAACAATTTTAAGGCAAAATTTCTGTTGAAAATTTTATCCATTTTATATAAATTCTTAATAAAAATATATCTTCATTTCCACTTTCACGCTCTCGAATATCAATATTTAATTGTAGTTAACACGAATATAAGAAGCATGAAAATAAATTTTATCTGTCTAGTAACACTTGAAACCTTATAATAATTATTTTCCATATTACATTCTGCTCACTTAGAGACGTCAGATCTTACAGTGCTTTATAGTAATTTGTCAGAAAAGTAATGGTTGCACGTTTTATCTAACTAGAAAATACAATATTTAGGCAAAGTATTTCAAACCAAATGTTGATAAAATGCATTGTTTACAAAAGTTAGAAAACAACGCACAAAAAGGCAGCACGTTCCGTCGTGTCAAGTAATAAATACTTGTCCATTGTGCCAAGTAGTGGTAATATCACAGCTAATATGTTTTTAAGAACTGCCCCATATCGGCAGAGAAAGTCGTTCTGAAATTAAAATTATTCCGTATTCCATATCGGAGAAATGTTCATGTATTGAAAGTTTCCTCCAAAAGTGAGATTCTTCATATAAAAGCAATCAAAATCATTTTTTAACGTGGTACTTGTTTCATTATGAAAACTTAAAAGTGAATAGTAAAATATTTGAAATTTGGACCTGAAGGCTCATATATTTATAATTTTTAAATTACTATAAATAATATATTAATGTAAATTCAGATATTACATATAAAAGCATGATAAACCCGTATTTAGAAATGATATACGGCTGCAAAATATCAAATGTAAATCGTATGACAGAGTAAAGAAGATCTCATCATTGGTTTGTATTTTTTGTTTAAATGAAGCTGTATGCATCACACCCAGTTTCATCGGATCCATCTTTACAGTTATCTACGCCATTACACCATGCCATAGCACTAATACATCTTCCATTGTTGCACTGCTTTTGAGTAGATAGGCAAGGTTCGTTGCAACCTTCTGGTTCATCAGAACCATCGAGGCAGTCTGGATATCGATCGCAAAAGAGAGCAACTTCGATGCATTTTCCATTATTACATGTAAACTTGTCTTTTGGGCAGGCTGGAAGGATAAAGAATTACAACATAGAATAAGTATATTTTAATTATTAACATTATTTTATAGAAAAAGAAATATTTCTTTTTGGACTGAAATAATATTAATAAACAATTTTTACAGATATATAACTATTAGGTGATTCATTAGTAAGATCTCCAGTTGTAAAAAGTACGTTTGCGATAAAATAAAATAAAAAGCTATCAAAATGATAAAAATGAGTTTGTAAAGATTATTTTCAGCTTCTAACAATTATAAGTTTAAACGCGCTTTTTGTCTGTTCTCGGTTCCCATCTATTATTCCCTACCAGAATGAGTATTTAGTATCGCGTTTTATGCAAATGAGTTAGAAGGAATATTTAAGGAAGGTTCAGGTTCAGGTTCAGGTTCCGGTTGTAGTGCAGAGGACACCCATTATTTAACCACTAGTAATGTGGGTATTGTCCAACTGCACTATCTATCTTTAGTTGAACATTATTATTTTTTTGAAGAATTTTCACATATTTACAATTTTTACATAAGGTTACAATATAGTTGTGACAAATGATGTCTTTCATACTTGAATACATAATGGTAAATATAGAAAATAAAGATAAATATATAACATATTAATATATAATGACATACATATAACAATACATTTACAAACATATATATAGCATGATTATATACATAAATACTAACAGCATTCTTTTTGTGTGTAGATATGCAGAGAGTATATACTGAGTACATGCAGAAATCATTTTGTATAGGAATTATTTTTCAGAATATTTTAGACTTTTTTTTTTTATTTTGTTGGATGCAAAAAGGTGTTGTATGGTCCTCTAGTCTTTTTGTCAACTCTAGTCTGTATTTTTGTTAATTTCCTCTTTTAAATTTTTGTCAAGTAGATTGTTTTGTCAATTCTAATTTAAGTTCCAGTGTGTTATTATTTGCTTATCTTTAAGGAAGATTCAACTAATTTCCAGAGATAGAGCTTAGGAGTCCTTAGTGGTGCGTGTTTGCTGTTTGGCTATTTCGTTCTTAAATCTACTGCGTTGGCCGTATTGTACGTGCCTGTGGATAATCGACGGCTAGGTTAAATTAAGGTATTTGTATCTATCTTCGGCTAAGTCTGTTTAGTTTAGTATTAGATTAGTTTCTTATTTTCTTATCTTCAGTTAAAAGCTCGAGTGGAGGCTTTCCTGTAAGCCCGAGAAGGGGCCCATCTGTTATTATTTGAGTGAATAAATAGTGATAACCCTTCTCTAGTGATAATAGTGATAACCCTTCTCTAGACTCTGTCTTAAGTACTCGAACTCAACGATAATTAGATACTTAGTTCACTGGGTTCCTCTACATTTAGCATAGACAAAGTACTGAGGAACATAATAAGTTTTCTTTAAAATTATAGTATATTTATTTTTTACCATAGTCAAAATTTTTTCCGATATAACGCTTTCCCGTGTTATCTACATTTTCATTCTATTCATGAAGAAAGTTTGCGATGTGCTTTTGAGTCATTTGCACATAAAAACTTCAACCAGATGAAAAATGTTGACCCTTCAGTATATCTTTCATTTTTTGAAAACAATCAAAAACTGATCGGTGCCAAATTTGGACTGTAAGGAGAGTGTGAATTTTAGTATTAACACTGCTTTTATCGCTCTTTAATTGCATTTATATCATAGGGGTGGGAAGTTCTCCTTTTTTGGGAATACATCGTAAGGTTTCACAATATTTTTCGGTATTAACAGTCATTCGTTTAAGCAATCAAAAATATTATTAATCACTGCCTTATATATAATTCAGAGATAATACTAACGGAGACTAACGGATGCTATTATTCAAGAAAATTTAACAATAAATTAAACCTAAGCTATTTTATTTTTGATAGTTCCAGCTACCGAAAGGAGGTGTAAGCAAATTTATGCACCAATTACTAGTAACTATAAGCTAGAAGACGTTACTGATCAGTCATCCTGCATCCGTGAGCTGTTCAACAAAAAAAAAAAAAAAAAAAAAAAAAAAAAAAAAAAAAAAAAAAAAATTCGCTTTTTGTGAAAAGATTCATATTGTATTGCACGGTTGTAACCCCGTCTGGATGGACATGTCAGGATGAACAAATTATGTCACCAGGAGCAAACCATTTAGCCTTCATGACTTCATGATGAAAGCAATATATTTTTTTGACTCATTTTAAATTTATCTTGCTTCAAAAAGCGCTAGATAATTGGGAGTACACTGATATTTTTCAAGCAAGTTAGATTTACCACTAGATTTCAAAGCAAGCCATGTTTTACGTCCTACTAATTTTGGTTTAGCCTCAGTAAACATTATAGAAATCAATGAAATGTTTTAATCAATTTTACGAGGATTCTGCTATGCCATTTTTCTTAGGATTTGGTAGTAAAATGGATGTCAAAATTTGCAAAAGCCTGGCGAGCTCGATGTTATCGCAGCCTTTTTAATTGCACAGATAATAAACCATAGGATCGCAATTATTGACGGAGAATCATACACAAAAAATATATCTTTAGCATATAAGAATATCAAATGAAGCTTCATTCAGACAACGAAGACCAAAAACAGCGGGTACTAGGCCGAGCTTTTGTATAAAAAAAGAACATAAAGTGTATGTTTATCTATAGTATAGTCCAAACGTAGGATATTTGAAAAAGAACTAAAGACAGATATTTTGAGATTTAATCAAAAGCTGTAAAGGCTTTATATGCAAATATGAAAAGAGCTGCAATAAATTATTTCGAGCATGATGGTGGAGAAATTGCATTTCATTAAAAAATTTTTTTCCATTATGAAGATGACAAAACATCAAATTATATGTACATAATTATGTGTGTGTATGTGTAAGATAATATTATGTAAACCAAAATTATAACTTAAATTAGCAGCAGTTCCTTGATTCTTCCTTTTAATTTGTGTATTTCCCCTTTCTATCCTAGAAATGTATTTCCCCTTTCTATCCTAGAAATGGTAATTGCTTACAATAATTTTCTGTGGACTGCGTAATTTATAGATTATTCCATATCACATGACTTTTACATAACTTTCAAACGATTAACAACACCCATAAACCTTCAGCCAATGGTAATTTTAGAGCTTTATTAATCATCCAATCAAATGATATTGAAATCGTAGTTAAACCATTCTGAATTAAGATTTCCTCCTAAACACAACACATTCTACTTCTGCTACTCGGCTTAACTGAATTGCTGCTATGCTGCTTTACTACAAAGATATCTAAAATGTAAATGTTCTGGAACAGGCACGATGAATATGCCAAATTATTTGTAGCCTTGGTAACTTTTAGGCGAGCTTTCTACAATTTTTATTTTTTACTTATTTTGCAGCATATTGCGCAAGATGTTTTCTTGACCAAAATTGGTTTTTCAAAATTTGTTATTACTGCTTTGCTTGATAAATTATATATATATATATATATACGTAATTACGTTTCCGTCTGTGTCCGCTAGGGGCGGGGCTAGCGCGGCCATCTTGGGGTCAGAGCGTTGCGCAGCTCAGTCTGCATCTAGCCGTGCTAGTGAGAGGTTCGTGCTGTGCTCCGTTCAGATGCTGTGACGGTTTGAAATGTCTGCGTTAATTGAAAATCCCGCGAGCTCCGCTCAGTAATAAGGTTTCTGACTGCAAAAAACTGTAAACCGATAGAAATCTATCGGCAGTTTCGTGAAGTGTATGGGGACAACATTATCACTGAAGGTGGAGTGCGTCAGTGGGTCATAAGATTTCAAAATGGCCGAACCAATGTTCACGACGAAGATCGAAGTGGGAGACCCAGCATAGTGACCGCCGAAACTTCTCGAAAAAGTCGATGCTAAAGTCCGTGTGAAAATCGAAATTTCACAATAACGGAACTTCTTTGAGTTTTCCACAAATTTCGCGAAGTTTGTTGCACGAAATCATCAGCGAAAAGCTTGGTTACCACAAGTTTTGTGCAAGATGGATTCCAAAAAATCTTGACAGAGGACCACAAAAATCAGCGAATGGCTGCAGTGTTGAACTTTTTGGACGCTTACCATAAGGATGGTGACTCTTTACTCGATCGCATCGTTACTGGTGACGAAACATGGGTGAAACATGTGAACTGTGAAACGAAATTGAGTTCTCCCCAAAAACCCAAGAAATGCATGCAAACAATGTCGGCAAGGAAGATGATGGCGACTGTTTTTTGGGACAGAAAAGGTGTAATTTTGGTGGACTTCCTGGAAAGAGGCACTACAATAAACTCTCAAAGGTATTGCCAAACTCTCCAAAAACTCAGAAGAGCAATTCAAAACAAGCGCAGAGGAATGTTGAGCTCTAAGATCTTGTTGATTCACGACAACGCCCGGCACCACCGGCAAATGTCACTCGTAAAGTTCTTGAATCTTTTAAGTGGGAGTTGTTCCTCATCCGCCGTACAGTCCCGACCTGGCACCGAGCGACTTCCACCTATTCCCAGCAATGAAGAAGTGGCTGGCTATACAGCGTTTTGATGACGACGCACAGCTGCAAGAAGAGGGGTAACGAAGTGGTTGAAGGCGCAGGCGGCCGAATTTTTCGACGAAGGAATTTCCAAGCTCGTACATCGCTACGGTAAATGCCTTAATTTGTATGGTGACTATGTAGAAAAGTAGTATTTGAGTGTGGCTTTCATCTGTATATAATAAAATTTGTTTCCTATACTTTGTTTATTTTTTTATTCCAAAACGTAATCTACTTTCTGGATAGCCCTCGTATATAACCTTATCTATGCAGATAATATACTCAGTAATCCATTAGGAAGTAAATTATTATTTTATTCTTTTGCAGCTATTGCACAAGTATAAGCAAATCTATTTCGATTTATTAATGCATTTAATTTAATTCAATCTTTGATATATATATATACATATATACGCTCAATTGACATATATATATATATATATACATATATATATATATATATATATACGCTCAATTGACATATGCTCAATTCGCAAATAGCATATGTCTAAGCTGTTTAAGTCATTTTTTATTAGACAGCTCTCATAGCCCGTTATAAAACATAAATAATTTATTTAAAGAAGAAAACAAAATTATTGCTTTATTATCTTACATTTTGAACAGTTCACTTCATCGCTAGCATCCCAGCAATCCACCTTACCATCGCATTTTAAACTTCTTGGTAAACATGGCGTGGTGTTTCCGCAACGGAAATGCCCTTTGCCGCATTCTGAAAAAGAAGTGGAAGACTGGCGTAAGTTGACGTATCTTGTGATGCACCATAGTTCTTATGTTGTATATCATTTTTACATGAACTTAAACGATAAATAAATTTGGTACTTAGAACTACCCCACGGAGTCACTGATATTTATAATTCATTTCACTATAACTATCGCTTTGTAGCTAGCTCTAGCTGGAGAAAATGGTCCACGTTTTTAAAGAATACAGATGGGATAGCCCTTATATTGACAGTGATATATACAGGGTGTACAGTAAATGTTGCGACAAACTTCTAGGGGAGGTAGGGCACATCATAAGGATTAGGAATTACATAGGAAACCATGGCCGGTAATGTCAGGGAGATAAGTGGTAGCAGAGGTAGAAGATGGGAAAAGAAACGAGAGTGATTAATTTCAAACATTTATTGGACACGAATGCAAACGGTGTACGACATTTTGAATGTTATAAAAGATGCTCGAATTTTGCACTATCAAACGTCAAACCTACCTGACACTGATGGACCATTGGTTGCCGAACATGTTCAAACATACCGGGAGTATCTTTGGTTGTAGCAGCTGCGCATGCGAGTCTTCCCCCGAGGCGCGTTTCAAAAACAACAGGATCGTGATACACAACACTTTTGATAGCTTCCCACAAAAAGAAATCAAGGCTCGCTCGATAAATCCGGCAAGCGTGGAGGCCGGGGAATTGGTTCACCACCCCTACTCCACCGATGCGGGAATGATCTGTTCAAGTGGCTACGAACATCTAGTCCGAAATGAACAGGGGCCCCATCTTGTTGGAATCACATGTTGCGCCTCACATTTGGTGGAACATCGCCAAGCAAATCCGGAAGAACCTGCTCCAAAAAGATCAAATAATTCGCGGCATTCAAATGGCCCGTCGGTGTTAGGCATGTTTAGTGTCTGATGGTGCAAACTTCGAGCATCTGTTCTAACATTCAAGCTGTCGTACATTAATTGTATTCATGTCCAATAAATGTTTCAAAATTTAATCACTCTTCCTTCTTTTCCCATCTTCTGCCTCTGCTACCGCTTACTCCTGACATTTCCGGGTATAGGTTTCTATGCAATTCTTAATTTTTATGATGTGCCCTACCTGTCCTAGAAGTTTGTCGCAACATTTACGGTACACCCTTGTGTGTCCACGTTTTTATTATTTGCTCTTTGTTTTTCCTTCATATCCTTTTTAACTTCGTTTCACTACCTTGCATCCAAATACGTGTATGAGAATATTATAATCAAGGTTTTCAAGAAGGTCAGAATTAAAAAATGTAACTAATAAGAGATTAGCTTTTATTGTAATATTTAAAGACTGCTTTAAATATTTTCCTGAAGACACTGATTAACATCGTGTAGCTTCTTAAGTGACAGTAAGTTTGTTTAGCTCAAGCATTTTAAAATGAATAGTCTTTACTCAGGGTGAACAATAGGATACATTTGGTTGAAGGGGAGAGGGGTGAGTTGGTGTATTTAATTATGGCAAAGCACACTAGGGCTATCTGCCTAAGGGGAGGGATGCCTTCGTGGAGGACTTTCTAAGGGAAACTGGCTCGTATACACGTTACACATGTGGGAAAACCACGAAAACGCCCATGCAGCCAGCCCGTTCGCGGGATTCGAACCTCGGACCGAACTACCAGTGTTCAGTGACTTTACCGCTCGGCCGCTGGTGGGCTCAAGAGGGGTAGGAGATCATTTGTCCCGTCCCCCCGGGGTGCTTTCCATCAAAATTGGAGGGGGGCGGAACTGAGCTAAATCGCACTGCCACCTGTGTGGAGCTCAAGGCTGTTGCCAACGACAAGCGTATCTTGCGCTCCTTGCCAAGTCAAGAACAACAACATCTAACACCGAAATATAAAATTAAAAGTTATATAAGCTAACCCAAATTGTATAATAATTTTAGAACCGTTTTAAACAGCTGGAAAACTTCTTGACTTGAAACAGAGTTGTGACTAGGAAAAGATGATTTGCCAAGAGGGAGAAGCAGCAGCACAATTAACAGGAACTAATTTCAACTATTAAAGTTGAAATCAATCTTTTTTAAGTTAGGCCATACTGAAGCTGAGTCAATTCACACAAAGGATTTAGCATACTAATGAATTGTTTAAGAGATGTTGTTAAACCAGCGCCTGTTTTGGATGTTGGTTTAACTCATATTTAAAACTCACAGTTTTAGAAGCTAGTGTTAAACCAGCAGTAGGTAGAGGCTTGGTGCTGAATATTTTAGAAAGTTTGAATACTTAGTTCATCATCCTCTTTTTCCGATACTCAAGTACAACAGAAAGTAGTTTTTACTTACGACTGTAAATGCATAAGTTCAGAATTCGTTTAACGTCTTCCTAAAAGTTTAAAAGGAATCTTTGGCTCTGTAATTTTCAGAGACTAAAAAGTTACCTTAGAGTTCAGCACTCTGAAAGATGAAATAAAATAACAAATAAATTTTGCAACAAACTTTTATAATATAAAGAAGAATTTATCTTAATGTATTCCGACGGTAGTTTTCGCTTGTTTAATCAATTACGGTAAAACTCATAGGGCTATCTGCTTAAAAGGAGGGTAGCTTTGTGGAGAATTTTATAAGGTATATTCTTCCTCTTTCCAACATGCCATCGTGGTATGACGGTAACACATTCGGCGCATATTCAAGAAATCCTGGTTCGAGTCCCGGTGAGGGCATTGCACATTTTTCAAGCCTCCAACTTCAAGAAAATCTAATGACTCTAGAACTTCTTTACAGAAACTGGCTCACAGTCACGCAATGCGAAGGGAAAACCGAAAACGCCCATACAAGTAGTCCGCTTGCCGACATTTGAACCTGGACCGAACTATTAGAATTCAGTGGTCTTATCCATGATTTCTCTTGTAAGTGAATATTCCGAAGAAAAAAGTTAAACTGTTTAACTTTTGGGATGTCGAGTGTTTGTATAAAAAGATAACGCAAATTGCACTCTTGATTATATTATAATAAATTCAGGACTTCATTGAAAATAAGTTAAAACATAAATTTCAAGTGATGTTATATTAGCAGAGTAGGGTGACTATACAATGTCTCAGTACAGAAAAGAAAGGAATTAAAAACCTTAAAAGAAAAGATCTTAAGAAAATCTTAAAATAAGTATTATAACACATGAAAAATAAGCCAGAAAATTTAAAAAAAAAGTTGCGTAAAGTTTAACCTGATTTTTGAAGAAACTGTTCTAGATTTTCGAGCAAAACTGTATGTTTATAAAGACAGATTAAAACGAATTTATCTTTTTCAAGAAGTAAAAATATTCTTCATCGTTTTCCACACTTAAAAATAGATGAAATAAAATGAATAAATAATAAATAAACAAAAGCACCACATATGGAACAAAAGAGAAACGAAAGAATTAAAAATCTATGATGCAAAGGAAATACTGAATTGGAACTGTAATTGTTAAATAAAGATATTAGAGCCGCCCAGACAGTATAGCGGATAGGAGAGCCTACTGCTGTACCGTAGGGCCTAGGTTCGAATCCCGGAGAAGACATGGATATTTGTAAATGTACAGCATCTATGCGGCATGGCAGCATTCTAAACATATGGCGAGCCGAAAGCTCTCTCGTGATGTTTGGTGGCAGCCAGGAGGGGTAGGAGACCCCCGGACCACTCCCCGCGGTGGTCTTCCTCAAAGTTCGGGTACAAGTATAAGTCCAACCTCCTTGAGTCTCCGGCAGCCATTCTTCCATGAAATATGTGGACAAGACAAAAACAGCAACAAAAAAGTAGACTGATGAACTGAGATGACTGAGAAAATCTAATTCAACAATTATAAAAGGATTTTTGAACAATTTCAGTGAGACTAAAGTCATAAGAATGGTTAACGGACCGACAATTAACATACTCAAGACTTTTAAATTTATCCTTTTTAACATACGATTCATGTTTTAAAATGACATTTTAATCCCTCGTTAATTTTTGGTTTGAGACCAACTTTACCCGTGCTACTGGAAATTTAACAAAATTGGATATTAATAGTCAGCAATGAATACTAATAGTCAACTTATTTGAATATGAATAAACTATCCAAAGATATGTTAGTAGAAATTTAGAATTTAAATAAAAATAAGAAACAGGGATACCAGACATAAAAGATAAAGATAAAAACAAGATAAACATAAAATAAAAAATATAATAAATAAAATATAAATAATTTAAATTTAATAAAAGATAAACATAAAAAATAAAGATAAGTTCTGATCAAATAAAAGATATTACGCTCTAAATTTTCGTGTTAGTATTCAAAAATAATTTACATATAGCGATTTAAACAATTAGTACAAGGATGAACGAATAAATAATTTACCGCAATGCATCTCATCAGACATGTCATAGCACTCGATTTTTCCATTACAAAATGCTTCCTCGTGAACACATAATCCATTATCACACTGCCATTCCCCATCTTTGCAGGCAGCTGTAAAACAGAATACAGAGAGATAATTATGCAGAGACTTCACACTGCTAATTGCTTATATACTTTCAGAAACAGATAGATGGTACTTAAATTTGAAAACGAGACTGATGCTATAGATGCTTCAAAAATAGCGATTCACTATAATAAATTATCAAGCTTGATTTACGTTTTGAAATTTATGCATTATCTAGAAGTGTGCTTGCAAGCACTTAAATGTATCGGAGCTTTCTGGAAGGTTTTTCTGTATGGGGATACATGATTAAAGTAACACTTTTTTAACAGTACGTTACTTTCAGGTAAAAGAAAATAGTCATACAAAGCGAAATCTGATGAATAAGCGGGGAAATGAAAATTTGCTTTTGGGCCAAAAAATCGTGAACGAGAAATTTTATGGTAATGACCATTATCATTAGAAAGGACGGATTGTGAGCTGAGAGGGGCTGAGCTTTTTTCGATATCCAAGAATTTCAGATGCCTTTTCTAACAGACAAGTTTCAGAAAATCTAATCAAAATGCAGAGTTTCACAATAAAGACATTTAGAGCATCCACTTAAAATGCAGCAATAAACTTTCTGAATTTAATGTGAATACTTTGCCAAATTCCTTTGCTGTTGTAAGAAGACAATGAAGCTCTGAGTAAGGTTTCTCTTAGCGTTTGATTATTTATTGAAAAACTGGTTTGAATTAGGAGTTTGATAATTTCCTCTTTGTAGTTATCTTCTTTTCAGGGTAAATGCTTACCTTTTCGTCTTTAACGACATTATTCAGAAAACTTTAGCTTCTTTCAGAGCATCAGTTATACTATTAGACAAGGCATTATCCAGTTCGATTTCTCAGACGTCAAGTAATGTGACCTTGATAGCAGATCCTGGTGGAAAAACCTCTCTCTCCTCTCACTTTTTCATTTGATAAACGGAAGCTCTCATTTCATCTCATATTGCCAGTCTCGATTTCAAATTGTCGCATCATACGGTAACATAAGTTGTAATCAATGAAAGGAACAAAAATAAGATTAATATTTCAATATTATTATGGAAGAAAAGGAAACATTAGATTATATGCGAAAATTTGAATCGGGTCTTTTGTTATTTTTACATTAATGAGCAGCACATGAATTAGCCATTCAAGGACAAAAGTTTTTTATATATTATATCAATTAAAATTAATTTGCATTTTAAATTCAGCAGCACAAGTATTTTTTACCTTCATTTTCAGCACACTGATAGGTGGAATTTCCTAATCTTCTGCATAGCTCGTTCTTACTTGAGCACCATCCGCCACAGCCTGTAGGATCCTTCGGGTCCTTTGGAATCACACAGCGAGAAAATGACGAATGGGATAAGAAAATGCAAATCTGACCGTCTTGACAGTTCCCTGCACATTCTTTTATCTCGCTCTTTACTGTATTTATTTCTGAAATTAATGTAAGTTTGCTTATTTAAATACAGCATTCAAATAAAAATTAAAATTGATGCAGAATTATTTTTCCGTAATGTATTCACACAGTGTAATATTTATTTTATGTCGCAAATCACTTTTCCTTAAGTTTGACTCTGTTGCGCCATACTAGTTCCAGAAACCCAGTCGAGGTAGGAAAAAACAGGCTTGATGAATAGGCATATACTCAACAATTCCATAGTAACTTGCTACCAGTACAGAACACTTGGAGGCGTGTTAGCAGCAACCAGAATTTTTACTTTCAGGGCGTCTATCGAAAGCATCGTGGAGAAAAACTCTGCAGAGGAAACAACGTAAGAAGAAAACGTCGTCGTAAAAAACATCGTGGAAGAAAGAAAGCAGAAGAAAACATAGCAGTTCTGACACATCGAGGTATAAAACAAAGCAGTGTAAAAACTTCACAATTTTAAAGCATCTTCGCATAAAACATCGATGACGATAACATCGCACACGTGCGTTTTCTGACTCTATAACAATTTTAAGTGAATTTTTGCCTAATGTTTTATGAGTACATGAAGAAGAAAGTAATATTTGCCTGTCTAATACTTCATATTTAGCATTAACAAATAAATGTTTACTGAAAAAACATAAAGGGAACTTGAGCATTCAAAATCTGGAAATCAATCAAAGTTAAGGCTATGCATAACACTCAAATGAATTTTAAATTTATGTTGTAACTAATAAAAGTAATTATTTAATTAGCCTGTGTTATCTAGATGCATTAGTAAATTTTCCTGAAAAAAATGTAGTGTAAAAGTGATAAGAAAGAGTAAGATACTTAAGTTTAAAATCCTACAAACCCCTTTTACTAATTTCTAGATTTTTAACGCTTAAGTTTTATTCTTGCTTTTGCAGTAAATGTTATGCTCACAAATAACTATGCAAAAATTCACTCAAAATTTTTTTAATAGATTTATTTTGTACCACCTTGTTTTATATAACGATGTTTTAGAACTGCGTTGTTTGCATTATTCGGTGTCGCGCAGCGTTCTTTCCCTTACGTTGTTTTTTCTCTGCGACGTTTTCGTCCGCGATGTTTTTGCAGCGATGTTCTCGCTTGCAACCGCTTTTAGGGGGGTTAGCGTTAGAAGATGATCAATATCCTAACTACAAAATATAATGAACTTAGGCGTATATGTTGTCACCAAAAACCTACTTTAAATTTAACCGAGTTGAGCAGCAAATGCTGAATTACATTTCGCAATGAGAATTTCTAGCAAATGAAGAAGTTATTTAATTTTTTATAACGGAATGGATACTTATATTTTTTCTCTTAACATCACAAGAACTGATTTTTAACATAGGAATATTAAATTGATTTATAATGATATCCTAAATTTCTTTATATGCACCAAAAATACTGATTACTCAAAAACAATCGAATAAAATTCGAATAAAAATCGAATAAAAATAAATTATGATGAAAAAACATTATCATCATAACACACATAAAAGCAAACTGAAATATTGAATAAGAAATCATACGACACAAAGCTATATTATAAAACAAATAAAATAAAAAATAAATGTATGCCAGTGAAATTTAAAAGAAATTAATACCTCGAAAGAAAAAGTAGACTTATATTACAATTAGGATATCCGAGGTTCGCTTACTCATACGTATATATCACAATGAGATTTTATGCTCTAAATAAAGTTATTAATTAAAATTTGGTAAGAGTTCCATTTCTCAGGCTAGTATTGTCTTAGAGGAACTGAAATCTCGAAAGAGAAATTCCTTCATCGCCGTGCGAGGGAAGAGGTATTTTTCAAGGTCATCCCAAAACTCTTTGTCAAATTCAGATCAGAAGATTTGGATGCCCAATTTAATCATACAATACTTTGATTTGAACTAGTAGGTTAAATAAGAAGTTTATTGGACGGCGATGCCATTCATAAAAAGAAATTCGTACCAATTTTCACCTGCGAAAAGATTGCTCATACAAAAAGTCCCGAGTAATAAGTTTATTAAGACGTATCTCACACCTTTGGAGAGACATACAGGGTCTGTCCAAAAAATAATGGGACTGATTCCATAGAATTCATTTAGAAGGCATTTTACGGGCATTTAATATTCCACAAAACAGTCTTCTTCATTAATACACCTTTGTCAATGACTCGACCACTCATTGATGCCCACCTGGAAGTCTTCAAATAGAATGCTGTTCAGAACTCGAGCTGCGTTTTTCTGTAAGTTCTCCAGATTGTTAAAACGATGAACTTTTAAGCTGGGTTTTAACCGAGGGAATAGAAAAAAGTCTGGTGGTGATTGATCGGGGCTGTATGGTGGTTTGGGGCAGTATTTTAACGCTGTGTTTTGCCAGAAACTGAATTATTTTGAAGAATGTGTGGAATGGTGCATTATCGTAGTGCAGAATTCAGTCGTTTGTGAGCTCCGAGCGGATGCGCGTGATTCTATTCCTCAACCTCTGAAGCACTTCCTTGCAAAAATTTGCATTAACTGTCTGTCCGGGTACATGAGCTCTTTGTGTACTATTCCCTTAGTGTTAAAGAAGGCAATAAGCATAGGCTTCAGTTTTGATTTGGTCACTCCAGCCTTCTTTTGATAAGGAGATTGGGAATAGTGCCACTCTGCACTCTGTGTAGAAAGAACGGAAGATGGAGAAATTAACGACACGCTTTCATCCCACTGACATCAGGGAAAGAAATAGTTGGAGTTGTCCTGGCTTGCTTGCATGGGGAGGCATTATGAAGAACCGACGGACGAAGCTCCCCATTTTCAGCAGTGGCTCGCTCACTGGGCATCGTTACTGTGAAAAAGTTGTCCTCTCCACATGCGTCTTTTAAGGGTGACATTGACCTCGACTTTGTTTATTTGGATGACAGTGTACAGCTACAGAGGACTCATGTTGTTGAGCAGCTCTTGGAAAGCAAAGATGTACACAGAATGGATTGGCCAGTGTGATCCCATAGTTTCAATCCCATTGAACATATTTGGGATACTTAAAAGAGATGCTTGGAGGCACGGTGTCACCCTCCAGAGAACCAGACAATTGAAACATACTCCTTGAAGAGTGCGAACACTTACCCGAAGAACTGGTAGATAATCTAGTGCTGAGTATCGTTAGATGCTGTAAAGCAACCATTGCAGTTAGAGGAGGTCATATCTCTTACTAAAAATCTTTTGTTTGCTGTTCTTCTTCTTGGCCAGAAAGTTTTTTTACTTAGTAATTCTGTCAATAAAGCCGTACTGTATGTGCCCTATTTATTTTTTTGCTGCTATATTTTCCTCACCTTTTAAGTACTATATTGTGCCTTCGCAGCATGAATTTCATGTCTCCCAGTTGATCGTTTTTGAGGAATAAGTCTCCAAATTAGAACAGTTGCTTAAATTTTGCACACTGGTGTTATATTTACAATCACAAAGTTTCAAAAAATATGATACAGATTTTATGACAGCAGTTTCATCGGTGGGCTGACTTGACTTTAATATTAGAAATATAATCAGTCTCACTTGTTCAACCGTAAGTTGCATTTCGTAATAAATTTTTTTTTCTAGACAATCAATACCTGTATATTTACATAAAACGAACGCCCTGAGAAAAAGATTCAAAATTTGAAATGTCCAAATTTTCAACGGAAAGCTGGATCAAATTGATTAATCTTCTCGGCTACAAAACATCCACTCTGAATTTGTTTTGTTGCAATTTGAACACAATTTTTATATTTTGAGACACATTTAAATCATAGATATTACTTGCTTATAACGGTTTCATTCTGAACTCCTGCAGCACAGTTACGTTCCTGTTGCAATAGTAACCCAAATGCTGTAAACAGAAGATTCAAGTTGACAGCATGTGGAAAAAAACCAAATCGGATGAAATGAGGTCATACGGTTGCTATCGTTACCAAAAATGGAAATCCTAGGAATTACATACCCGGCAGACGACAGACATACCAGGATTAAAAGCTAGGAGTACTTTACAAAATATTTGACAAGCGTTTTATAACATTATGCTTGGCAAGAGCTTGACCCTCTACGATGTGTCTGAAAGAGAAAGTGGACCTGTAGTGTGATTGTGTTCACGGAGGAAGGAATGCCCAAATATTGTTGTTGTTTGACCTGGCAAATACAGTGTGAATTATACACTTTTAAGCGGAATTGTTGTTACCTAAAATCTGTTGTTAAAGTTTAGAAATGAAATTTATTTGTATTAATTATTTCGACTAAGGAAATTTAAGGGGCTTCCTCTAACTAGGCTTTTTGAAAGCTCAGAAACATTTACATCAGTGAAAAAAACCTCTAGCTACATCTAGTTAAAAAAAGGTGCTATTTTAGTGCTGCGGAATAATAATCGACATTGTAAAATAGATTCTCAATGGCAACTTTTTCTATAGGTCACATCCGAAGGATCTACTCCGGCAGGAATTACAGTCAAATACTTGTCATCTTTATCAACTTCTGTATGTGAATCTGTTATTTCATTTTTAACTTTTTTAAATGTACAGAAAGGAGGGGCTGGATGAAGAAAAGGATTTGTGACTCTATTTTAGGAAAATAACCCCAACCACCAAAGTGAACTGTGAAAATAAGAACAACAATCTCACTGATTGTGTAATAAAATATTTATAATAATTTTAGAAGCTATGTTTTACTGCTTGGGCCTTTTTATGTTTGTCTTATATAATTTATGAACACAGAATTTAATGTGTAGAAAATATATACATATATTTTTAGTCCAAAGGGGCTTTGTACCTGAGAGGCTAATAGTTTCGTTTTGCGATTGTGCGTCGAAGCACTCTGAATGTCTGTTTCACTTTTCAAACTGTTGCCGCCAAATAGTATCTCCCTGTATTATATTTAAAGAATAACTTCTTTAAATATAATACAGGGAGATACTATTTGGCGGCAACAATAATGAAGAATCTTCATAAATGTATGTATGTTTCTCAAACTGTGATAAAACAACGCTGCATAGAGCCATCGAATTTTGAATGATGTAATACTACTGCGAATATGGGCATCTCGGACGCACAGGTGCTTAATGAGAAGAATGTCCTGTTTTGTTCAGAGATTAATTGACAGAGAACTTTGAGGAAAGGTATAGCGGAAATCCCCTTGTGCGGTTTCCGGACATAAGGGACAGTAATTACCCCATTCCAGATATTTTTTCGATAATGTGCTGAATAAAACGAAAGAGAGGAGCTTTTGTGAGAGCTTTTGATATAGTAAAAGACTCAGAAGAAGAAGCAATCCTGCGTCGTGGCTGCATCCAGCGGCCATTGTGTGAATATTGGCTGTAATGGTTGATTATGTTATTTATTACTAAACTAGAATTTTTATTAAGTTTTTTTCAAAATAAATATTTAAAAGATAACAGTTTTTTTCTTTCACCCAACACGGGTGTTCAGACGTTACAGCATGTGGAGGCCCAAATTTGAAAATTGGAATTTGTTTTATTATCGATTTCATATTTTGTAAAACATTAACGAATTTTTGATTAACAAACTGAAGGATTTCAAAGAGAGCAACAACAGCATTCAAAACAAACTTTATCTCCTGAAGGAAGAAATAGACAAAGAAGATTTAAATAGTTGCTGCACTTTGCTGCATGCAGTTTCTGGGAGGAAGAGAGGTTATTTCAAGCTAAACAAGACCCGGAATTTCGCTTTCATCTTTCAATTATAACACTACGTTTTTCACTGCAAAGAATATTTTCTTTAACCAGTTAACTGTGATTGCCGAGTATACTTGTCATGCGTATATTATGTTAATGAAATAGAAAGATAAGAGGGAGGTTTATTTAGTAAGTACTGTACATAATGACAACGTAATAGAAACAGAGAAAAGAAAAATAATAACAAAGAAACCGGAGCTAGTGATTGATTATAATAAAAAAATGGGTGGAGTGGATATGAGCGATAGACTCCACAGCAAGAAAACGGCTCAAAAAGTACTACAAAAAGATATTTTTCTATTTCTTAGACATTATGTATCTGAATGCATTCATATTATATAAAAAAAAATAATCGCGTATTAACTTTTTGCTCAAATTTATTGAAGACACTTTTGCGACGTAGGTGTTCGCATTGCTTAAACGTAAGATCAGGAAGGAACCGCGTTACTGGTGTTCGATTTGCAAAATCCCACTGTGTATAGTACCCTGTTTCGCTGAATATCACTCTACAGCAGGAATTTAAGTTCTTACTTTTATATTTATAATATTTAATTTAATTTATTGCGTTTTTTTTACTACTATGTAATATTTATGTAACCAATAAGTAAATTTAGTAATAAACTTTTCAATTTTATAAAATAAACCCATCTTTTTCATCCAATATCTTACCAGCGCAACTTACTCTGCCATTGACGAATATACTCGTCATGGCTCGATTCTGGCGACACAAAACGGTGCGCACTTTTAAGCGAGAGCGCCTCAGTTAACTGGTTAAAGGCTAAGCTGTATTAGAAGATATACGGAGGCAGTTCAGACGTTTTTTAGACGACTTCGTTTTATTTAAACAAATATTTTACCTTAACTCTTTGCATTTTAAATGTTCTCTTTGATAACCCTTGTTCTTCACTATCTTTCTGCACCGTAATTTCCAAAACAATCAAGCTTTGTAGTATCGAAAGAGGTACTTTCTCTCATTCTTCTTATACAATTTTCCGAAGTCCAAGGAGGGTTGTAGGTCGCCGTTTGGACAATCTGCTTTTTAAAAGTCCAAAAGAGCAAAAATCCATGACTGATACATCAGGAGATCTTGTAGCGATATGAGTGAAGAGTATGGCTTAGATATCCGTTTCTTGTTAAATTTTTTTCAGGAAATTAATAGTTGATTTGGACGTGTGGCTGTGTGCTTTGTCTTGATGCAGTTCTACTGATTGATCTGATTCCGTCGATCTCTTATAATTGCAGTCCTTTTAAATGCACCAAAGATTCATCTACTGTGACAACATTTTTCTGTTTTTAACCGGATAAATATTTATCATTAAGAATTCTGCAGCGCGTTCTGCGCTCTACGATGTATCGTGGAAAAAGATGAAGCATATTATGCTTTTTTGCCTTTTTAAGATTAAAATCAGTGTTAATCCCTCTGCTTACAATTAACATTGATCATTTCAATGATTTTACAAATGTCCTTTGATTGGTGGATTTTCTTTTAACATTAAAGATCTTACCTTTACAACATTCGAAATATTCGATTTTTCCTTCGATATGTATTTGTAACAATTTTTATAATTGAAGCCAAATTTTGACGTTTTTCCCTTTCTTGGTGATAATATTACCTATTGTAGCTTTAGATATCGAAAAATTTCACAGAGTTTTTAATAACTAGACATGAATGATTTTCTTCGGAAAGAGCAGAAACGTAGCGTTCCATCCATTGCTTCTTTCAAAGTGCCATTTTGCATGAAAACAAAACTGTTAAGTAGCAGAGAATAACTTATACTTTCAAAAATATAGTTGCAGTTAAAGTAATTATTTCTAAGCAGCGAGTATTTTTTTATTGCAAAGTAAATTCGTCTAAAAAATGTTCCAAAAGCCTCTATAGCAACATACTTTCATCAACATTCCCAAGTACAGAGCGCAAACGCTTTATTGACATTCCACTAAACTTCGTCTTGAAAACTTAATTTGTCTCATCTACATCACAGCTTTAAACGCTTATGAAGCAAAAGTATCCAGACATAGCTAACATGGATTTAAGAGCTCTGATTGTTTTTCGGACATTATATTTGCAAGAGACAAGATTTTCAGCAATGGCTATCATCAATATAGAGCACAAGTCTGAAGGAAACATCCATAAGAAGATGAGAATTACAGTTTCAGTTTCAAAAACAGTAGTCATATCTGAAGTTCTAATGAAGAAGAATAAGTTTAGCCATCTCACTAACTGTCTAACCAAAAATTATCACCAAACACTTTATTTGTATTTCTACAATTACATTAAGCACAATATTTTAAGGCAATTAAGACGAGGATTCTCCAGTATTAAGATACCTGTATAAAATCGTATATATTAAAACATCATGACAACCCACCTTCTGACTACCAACTGATAAACCCCTGCAACACAGAATGCACACACTGTTACATTTTTATAAAATGAAAGGGAAAACAGAAGATTACCTGGAAACCTTAGAACTTCTGGTGGGTCTGGTGTGCTGACGCCAGGAAGTCCTAAAAGTAGAGAAAGTAGAGAGATATTTAAATGAAAAAATATTGATTTACCAGTGTTAAAAAAAACAAGAAGTGGGAATTTGATATTTTAATCCTTAAAAGCAGATTTTAAAATCTATATTCCGGTAATAAACAGAATAAACGATCTGATACTTGCTCTGTAGTAGCTGCAGGAATTCCTCTAAATTAAAAAAATTCTGTAGCCATAACAATCAATTTATAATACTAGATTAGTATTCAGACTTTGTAACGTCAAATTTTTTTGTGGTCTAGTAAGCTTAAATGCTATTTACAGTACTGAAATTCAATACATTTTCAGAAAAAATTTTTTTTCAATAAATATATAAAATATAGTAACGTAATTAGTATACAAACATATGCAACCAAGGGGCCGTTTTCAAAATAGAAAACTCATTATACAGATTTTTCTTTATTGTAAATAATTCCCGAAGGGTCCCAGAGAAGTTGGATGTTTGTAAATGTAAGAGTCTATGCAGCATGGGGGGCACTTAAATACGTGGCTAGCCGAAAGTTCTCTCGAAACGGTATGGTAGGGAAAGAGGTGTGAGAGACCCTCAGACCCATCCGCTCGGGGTCTCTTCATTAGAACTGCGGGCGGAGCTGAGCAAAGTCGTAATGTCACGTGTAAGGTGCTCAAGATGTCAACGACAGACGCAGTTTTCTAATCCTTGCCACGGTGAATTTCGTGAGTTTGTTCTGATGTTGCTGTCAGACAAATGAGATAAGTCACAACAACAAAGACAAGAGAAATAGTGTGCCTTGCAGCTATGACTGCATATGTTCCAATCGTAAACTTAAAAAATATCAAGCACTGGGTTTTCTAACAATACAAAGTAGACTACAGCTTTACTTCATCCTGCATGCTTCTTCCATATACTCGAAAGTTTGGCTAAAATAGAGAAATAAGCCACAACTTTCAGCATGAGAAATTACAATGAAACGTCTAAAGCTTACCTAAGTATGATCTAAAGTTCGCCTAAGGTCTATGATTACCTGAATCACTGGTGCACAGATATTATCCAGCATTGTCTTGCACGTGAGAAGATCAGAGCCGGATTAAGACTTTTAGAAGCCTTGAGCATTTTTAAGATTTTGGTGCATTCACATACATTTAGAACTATTTTTTCCTTATTCCATCTCTCATAGTCTCGGTTTAGCTGCACCATAGACTCCATGTTAAAACCGACAATGGGAAATTTTTGTGATGCCCTATCCACTTGATGCCTTGAGCACGAGCTTATTTAGCTTAATGGTTAATCCAGTTCTGGAGAAGACGCTATGCCACAGTACGAATTCATAATCCCTACGGAGATGGTATATCTCTATCCCAAATTTAGCTTGTCAACACTCGTTGCTAAATGATTACAGTAACGATGCTGTTGGACTCAATATTTTTTTTTTGAGGCAATCCGAATTTTTTTTTTTTTTTTTTTTTTTTTTGCTAACTGAAAATAAAAAAAACTAAACTTAGTGGCACAACAGCCCTAGTGAGTCACGTCCTGAAGTGCCCCGAAATCTGCTTTCTTGGCTTTGGGCTCCGGGGTGCATCAGCATATGCCCTGGGCTTGTCAGTCAGCTTGTTGCTGGACCCCCCGATGTTTAGCCCTCAAGCGAACTTGGCACTCAATTTATCGTCCTACTCAAGGGATGAAAATTGTCAACCTTGCTCAGACCGAGGATCGAACCCCGGGCCTGTGGTATAGCTGAGCGATGCGCTACTCACTTCGCCACCGGGCAGTGACCTAACTGAAAATCCGTCTGCCAAAAATAACTGTAATTAAACAACTTGCACAGTAAAATTCCGTAAAAACTGGCTCTGTAATTTCATGCATACCAGTTCTACTTGCGTTAATATGCATTGAACACTCAGTGGAATTAAAAATTTTTTTAGATATTTAAATAATTTTGGATTATCTCGCAAAATAATTTAAATGCTGGTAGCAAACTTGGCAAATGTTTTCGATTACTGGTCAGAAGATAATTTTTGGTGAGTCACAAAATGCTTAGCAGGTTTTGTTTCTTTGTTAGATGTCTAAAGCATATATTTACTCATTAGTTGTTGATAGTTACATGACATTTTCCGCAGCAATCGTTGCCATGAATGAATCACGGTTTGGTGAGAAAGAAATGGCCTTAAAGTTTCTATTATAAGGTAGACTATAGTCTCCGACGATGAAAAAGTTGCTTAAAGCGTGAGAAATCGCACCTGTAAATTGTAGAGATCGGATATCCACTTGAAGAATTCCTCCTGGTAGGTATCCATGATGCTTTTCAAGCGCCTGTATGACTGCCATTCCAACTTCATTTGTGACATCTAGTCTCGGCTCGGAGAAATAAATATTGAACTGAGCTATAACGCTGCCTTTCCTAAAATACAAAGAATTTTATTAGGGAAGACATATTATTGTAAGCATTTGAAAATGTTTGTCCTTATTTGTATTTCGTTATTTTGTATTATCTGCAATTTTTTGTACATTTCTTGCACATTTCGTATATTTTCTTTATTTGAATGCAACAACACTTGAATGTAATGACATTTTTGCATTTACTATCTGAAAAAAAAGTCAGTAGAAAGATTATTAGTGTTTAAAATTATGTGCTATGAAATCTACACCGTCTTTTTCAGTTTTTTCCTTTACAAAAGTTTATATACATTTTTCTCAGCATTTCAGTCTGAAAGTTGTGTATCTTAATTTTATTGTGGAACGTAATATTATATTATTTTATGCGACTAAAATTCTAACATTTAAACATTAAAGATTTGAATTTTCAAAAATTATAAAACAAACTCTTCGTCATCTTTTAAAGCAGGAATGACAAAGAAAATTAATTAGACGGTTTTATATAATTTTACTAAACCAATTGCATTTTAATAAGGTGTTTTTATTTAACTCGCATATGATGTTTGTCGCTAAGGTCAAAACACTGTTATCGAAATTTAAACAACTTCTTAATAAGCTGGAATAGGAGCTTGGCTGGCCAAATCTGTCACTTAATTGCACTGTCAAAGTATAAGCAATTATCTTTATAAATTTATCAAGACCAACCCACGCTTTTATTATAAAATTCTAGATGAATTCTGTAAAGAGAATTATTAATCTTCTCATTAAGCTATATAAATCATTTTTTCCTTTTAGTTCATTATTTATTTGATCAATTTTTAAATAAAAGCTTATTTTTTAAAATTCTTTTGTTTAAACCTTTTTTTATTACTTCTACAAACTACCTCTGAAATTACATAAAGTGACTATTATTATATTGGGAGCAATTGTTAATGAAGATAAGTTTGAAGGATTGGAAAGATTTGGTGCATTGCTTGTTACATATTTATTTCATCCTACATTTTTTAGAACTTTCCAAGCTATTAGACTTTTATACTTTGGAACTTTTTGAAAAGCACTAAGAATGTCAAGTCACTGATAATATCAACTACATGAAGATTCAGCAAATCCACTGTTTACCATTAATTTAAGAAAAATCACAAAAATGATGTTTACTCAAAAGTTACATGTAGAATTTAGTGAAACTGAACCACAGTATACAAGTTAAGGTATAAAATTTCTTGAGAAGAAATTACCAGACACTTATGGTGCTATGGATATTAGCATAAGTCTAAAATGAACAAATCGGATGTGTTTGGTTTAGAAAAATTACCTTTATGGAGTTTAGTCTCTCTTAGAAGCAATACAGCGATGTGCGATGCTGTCAATTATATGGTCTATCAGTTGTGTAGGAAGGGAGATACATTGCCCTTGCAGAGCAGTTGCAAGCATAGCAAAGGTCTGAAGAGGAAGATTGAGAGCAACTATACGTCTTTCAAAAGCAGTCCATACATGCTCGATAGGATTCAGGTCCAGTGATCGAGCTGGCCACCCCATGCGCTGAATTGTTTGCTGCTGAAGATAATCATCCACCATAGGAACCCTGTGCGGTCTAGCATTTGTCATCCTGTAGCAGCAAATCAACACCTATTGCCCCGGCATGGGGGCACGCATAAGCATCAAGGATGTCATCTTTATAGTCCTGAGCATTCACGGTTCCACGTGGAAAGACATGGAGGTTTGTGCGTCCACCCAAAAAGATACCACCCCAAACACATACACCTGGACTCATCCATAAAGAGAACAATATCCGTCCATTGGCTATGTTGACGTGCCCATCTCAAACGTACCCTTCTATGACATGACGTGAATGACACGTAAATGGCTGATCGCCTGGCATATAGACTTCCTTCGCGAAGCCTTCCACGCTCAGTTGACGTTGATGTCAACTGTGCGTGGTCACCTTCTGGTGGCTGCAGCAAGAAAGGATCTGATTTGTGTCGTAGATCCGGTTCTATTCCTTCGTGTGCATTTACAACAAATATCGGTCATCGGCGTTCGTCGTAGTGGTTGGCCGTCCTTAGCTTAACCTCTTGGATGCCGAATCTGTGGTTTAAAATTGCAGCCAAAGTCTGTTAACTATAGAAGGACTCCCATTTAACCATCTGGCTGTATCTGCCTGACTTTGTCCTACCTTTAGTCTTTCAATAGCTCTCCATCACAGTTCTTCGGGCAAGTTAATGCCTGAGGATCATTGTTACAAACTAGATATTCCTGATTTCTTATCTCAATACCACAGCGAAATTTGCAGTCTTGCTCTGAAATATGCAATTTTATGCTCCTCGCAGATGACACATTTCGATTGCAGCGTACTTTAGTTTTACTCAGTAATTATTATTTAACAATATATTCAAATTTTATACAGATTGGTTTATTTTTCAACGAGTTATCGGTATTTTTGGGATTTTTCCTTAATTTTTGGAAACCAGTGTATGTTTTAAGATCTTACCTGAAACTTGTAACTTTTGTTCTATTGTAGCTCTTCAAAGAGGGAATAAAAACTGCATCCATCTAGAGAAAATATTCATGGTCATTAGTTTGCTTTGCTACAATGAAAACTTAGGGCAAAAATTGCAGAGTAAAAGTAGGAAATTTAAAATATAATCCATTCAAACTGTTGACAGATTTGATGAAATTTTAATGAAATTGAAAAAAGATAGTGTAATTAAACAAAATAACTAAATTTTAAGTCTGACAATGGTTTTAGTTATAAGTATTTAAGTTCTGGATTCTTTAGTGGTTACCAGCGTATGTCAGCATCACAGGTAACGTTAATGCACATAAACTGACAAAGGTGGCTCGAAATCTAAACCATAATAATAATTTAAACGCTACCCTTTAGGACGCAAATAACATGGTCAAATACAGATTGAAAGAACTTTCAATTCCGATAAAACACCAGCTCCATAACATTAATGAAGATCGACTTATTACTAAAACCTTTAGTTATAAGGCCTTTATCATAGATACACAACTAAAATTTAAACCAAAAATATTTAAAAAGATTAGATAAATATTTAAAAAGATTATTTTTCGTGGCTGGACCGTAACTTTATACGTAACTATTATAAGTCTTATAATTATTGTATGTAATAAAACTTTTTCTTCATTATACTTTTCATTTCCAAGCTCTTCACAGCTTGACAAAAGTAACTCTCTTTTTGCCCTGTTATTGCTGTTGTTAACTGTTTATAATATTTCTTGAAATACGTTGAAGAAGACTTGTATTTGGCCTGAAGAAAGAAGAAATTCTTATTATTTGGATTTTTCGAATATCTAGACTGATTGCGAATTTAGTTAATCTGGGTATACGAAATTCAATTGTAGTATTATGTTATAAGTTATTAATAGTTAGTAATTATGTACGTAATTACTAACTAATTAGTAACTGGGTTACTAGTAATAAATAGTAATTACGTACAATGTGTACAATAGTTAGTAATTCCCTATAATAGTTACAATATTAATTAATGGTATTTATCGAAACGGCTCTTCATTTTTTACTTTCATAAAAATATTATAATTAGCTAAGTTTGACAAACACCCTTATTACTTATTTCAGATAATATATCTACACGTTAAGAAAAAGTCGAAGTTGTTGCTTGGTTCATTGAATTAAAACTGACAAGAATTAACTGCCTAAAGACAAAGATGCCATCATATTCGAAGGCGGCCTTGTTCGTATTTACGTTGCATACATAGAAAACAAAGCAAACGCTCATGCAGAGAGCTCTTTTGTCGGAATTTGTATGAACTGCAGTCCAACTATATCAAGATTGAGTAATTTTCTGCAATGGTAGCCTAAAAACTTCACACGAAGACAGGGTTTTAGTCGAAATTTAAACCTGCTTCGAAATGTCCAGTATTCAGTGGATTAAAGCAGCGGTCGCCAACCGGTGGTCCACGATCCACTGGTGGTCCGTAAAACGTTTTGATGGTCCGCAGAAAAATTGGGACATTATTTATATTTTTATGAAGATTCACGTTAAAAAATGAGAGTAACAAAACTTATTATAGAATATGGATTATATATATATTTTAAATTTTAGCTACTACTTTTAACGAAATTCCTTCTGAACTTAGCGACTTTTTAGCTTCTTTTGAAAGTATGTCTAGCGACATTTGAAAGTGAGAGTTGGCATCCATGGATATACTGCTGTTATCAATAATAGAGCGAACTGGAATTTTCTTTTCTTTTTAATTACAAACATATGCTATCGTGGTCGTTAATAACACAGCTTTTATCCGTGTCAATAGGCATCTTGATGGATTTCTAAGAGAATCATCTGCATTCTTGTTTATAATTGCAATCACTGGAAGTTTCCATTTTTGCTTTGTCTAACTGTTGATCGATGGAGCCATGTTTACAATAATTCAAAACTGGCGGCATAACATTGTCAGTTTATTAATATTGCTTTGCGTTTGCCGGTTAGTTCTTACTTTTCGTGAAGTTCCTTTTCAGTGATATCGAAATGTAAAGCTTTCTGCAGAAGAAGATAAGATTTTTGAACTTTTGATGTAATTTTTCAATGTGAACGAAATATGTATAATTTGTTGATTATTATTGCATAAATGTATTTACCTTTTTTTTAAATTCATATTAGTGGTCCGCGATGTTCTAAGGGTTGACGACCGCTGGATTAAAGAATCGGAGAAAAATCTTCATTTCTACTGTTACTTGATACAAAAATAATTAGCAGTGCATTTTAAAATGAAATAGCACGTACTGGATAGGGCCATTTGTAATGATATTGAGTTCCCGCTATAGAATGGACTGAGAGAATTTTTGATTTTTGTTCTTTTTGGAAAGGAAAATGCAAAGCAGTACATTTTGGAAGGTCACCAAGAAAACATCTTTCCCTAGCCTTCAACTGGTTCGCTTTAAAAAGCAATCATTAATTTACCAACTTAACGATTCTAAGATTATTTATTACTTTTACCATGCAAGTCATATTTGATTACGCCTTTTTCAAATTTCATTTCACAGAGTACGGTATACGATATTTTCTCACTCCTTTCCGTTTGCCTTCATGATGTAACTGAAAGCACGTTCGACGCGTTATCGGGAGGTCCGGGTCTCGAATCCCGGCAAGGGCATTGCGGATTTCTTCACTTTCCTGATTCCGAAATAGTTTAAGAAAAAGACTCTACAAGTGGCGCTCAAACAAAAGCTAGAACAATATCTTGAGAGTATTCAACTTTTAGTCTGCCTCCCCTGCACTCCATGATCTCAGGTTCCAGCAGCACCAGTAAATCTCATGGAAGGTTTTAGGTTCATCATGGATACGACGAGGGCATGTTTTTGCCTCTCAAGGCCACGTAACTAGGTTTCGCTAGCTCTAATAAGATTATAATTCTTCGGCTTTGCCTTACTGCTGCCTACATTTAAACTGTTACACCAGTGAGAAGTTCAGAGCCAACGCAGAATATAAAATCAATTGTGTGGGATTTGACTACCAGGTTAAATTTTAATTTAAATTTGACTGTTACTTTAAGTTACATTGCCACGAGTGGTGGATGAGTTGTAAGAATAAGAATGCATTCTATGTTCAAGCTTTGATTTAATAAAAAAAAGTTATTTTAAAACCTTTTCAAGATTTTGTCGTTATCTTCAGACACAGCGATAATTCGTTCCTAGTCTGTTAGGAGTTTGATACTAGTTTATACTAAAGCAAGTCAAACTCTATAACCAAAATGATTGAATCTTTGAGATAAAAGAAGATTGATTCATGCTAAATAATTAGGGATACCTTCTCCTGTTTTACAAAAGTAAACTTTTTACACACTAATTAATATTATACTTCAATATGACACGTTCGTCATTCATTAATTATTTCATCTTATAGACTTTATTTTAATATGCAGTACAGCTAACTGCAGCGGCTTAAAAGACTTTTTTTACCACACGTAAGTTGTATTTAAAAGAAATTACTTTCAAAGTATTTCATTCAATTTTATCCAAAAATAGGCCTTTGAGAATAATTCAATTTTATTAAAAATTAGGCCCGTGATTAAAAATTCTAAATCTTACCCTAGTTTCTGGATATTATTAACAAACTGATTGTGTAGGCTATGGTGCCAAAAATTTCGATTAACTAGGAAATTTATGATTAAACTTGGAACATAACGGAAATTTTTAAAATCTGGCACTGCGTATAAAGGAAACGGACTGCGTATCCAGAATATTGAAAACTTTCCAAAAATCTTAAGGCTGTTCTCCTAATCCAGTCGGTTCACCACCGATTGAGTAGTAAAGTAGTTGAACGAGTAGTTCGACTTGGGTTCATACCCTGACAAGGCCGTTAGCATGGGTGGTTTCGTTGTTTTCTTCACGTGTAACATGGATACAAGCCAGATTTCCTTAATCAGTGTACCAATGGCCGATTGGGTATGAGTAAACTATAGTAATAATTCCAAGTTAAATCAAATTCAGTTGCAGGCGAATGGCCTGTCTACGTGCATTGTCCATGCGTAATGTGAATATAAGAACACTTTCCCTTAGAGAGTTTTCCACGAAAATATCTCTTTTAAGGCAGATATTTCTCAAGTGCTCAGGTACAACCAACCAATATAATTCTAATCTGATTTATTTAAAAGCTCTGAAAAGCAAGCATGCAACAAAAAATAAGATATAGATATTTGCAGAAAAACAGATGTTTGTAGCCCTTATTATGGAAAACCCCCTTAAACCCTGGGAAATAACATTCGATGCAACTTTTTATTGCAAAATTTGCCACATAATTAGCTAAAGCTGTACGCAACTGTAAAATAAACTTCATGCAAAATACAAATATAAATACGAAAACATAAACATACTTATATGTTTGAATAATAACACAATCTGGTCAAATATTTGTAGGCAAGAAGTCGGCTATGTCTCTACACATTATTTAAAAAGAGGTTCGGTTTGGTTTAGTTTATTATGGCAAGCACGCTAAAGCTATCTGCCTAAGGGAAGGGATGCCTTCATGGAGGACTTTCTATGGAAAACTGGCTCGTATACATGTTACACAGGGGGAAAACCTCGAAAAGGCCCATGCAGCAAACCCGTTCGCCTGGATTCAAACCTAGGTCAGAACTACCTGTATTCAGAGATTTTACCGCTCGGTCGCTGGTGGACACTTCAAAAAGAGAAAAAGCAAGATATTTCTTAAAGGCAGAAAAACACGGTGTAATTTGTAAAGAAGAAAAATGTGAAAAAACAGGACAAGTCAAAAAAACTAAGCAATGGCCAATTAAATCCGAAATCCTTCAAAAATCTAGGAAAAACAGTACATTTATTTTTCTTTTATGTCAAGTTTTTATTTATTTATTTGGAGTGCCAGAGGTTTCAAACTCCATTTTTAATGTAACAATATGCTTTTTTATACAAAGCATTTTGTCGATGACGAGAGTGTATAAGGGAGTAGAGGCAAACTGATGACTGCAGATATCTATTTTAGGCATTAAATGAATGAATCTGCAAAAGCTCAAGGCTTTGTATCTATTGGTGATTGCAATATTTTCAAGTAGTACTTAAAAAAGTAAGTAATATTTGCGGTTTTTAAGCGTCAACAACAGATATCTGAATTGTTATTTTAGTTTGAAGCTGTAATGTCTATATTGAGAATGTTTGAGCGCTTGCTAGCGTTTTGCTGTTTTAGTTCTACTACGGTCCACTTAGAGGTAGGCAGACTACACCAGTTGGACCATCAAGCAAAAATATTTCGTATAATATTACAAAAAAAAAAAAAAAAAAAAAAAAAAAAAAAAAAGGGATGCATTAGAATTGAAAATATTTTTTATTTGCTCATGTTTCATTCCCTTTAGGGCATTTTAAGCTTCTTCTAGCTATCTTACTAAATCTGATAAACTGGTAAATTAACACTTATCCAACAAATATGAATAGAAAAATGAAAAGTCACATCGGTCTAAATTAGTAATGAAGCTGATTCTTTTAGTTATTTTATTTTAAAATAAATATTTCGTTTATTTAATATACATTTATGTGCAGACAGTTTGCTTATTTTCCATGCTAATTACGTATATTTTTACAAGCTAAAAAACACTGAAAATACTTACCATTACTTTACTATAGCAGGTTTGCTAAATTAATTAATGCTTAAAGAAAAGTAAAATCTGTGGCACATGGATGTTTCAGTTTTGCCTTGCTTAGAAGGAGTCTGTAATTGGTTTCTTATTTTATTCTTATACATTATTGCTTCAAAAAATATCCTATCAGTCGCCGTTGACATACAAGAGAAGCACAATACAATCTTAACTCGCATTGTTCTTTGTTCTCATAAGTCATTTATCATGTTAAAAATTTTATACTAGGACTTAAAGATTTATTTATCATTCTTCGATGCTTCTGCGGTATTGAATAGATGACATTCTCTGACATGATCTTTAAAAGCTATTTTTTTTCAATAATGTTTTTAAAATTCAGAGCAAACAACAATATGTCAAAACAGCCTACCTTGCACACTTTAGAATATGGCATGACTAAGATTCTTTATCGCAGGATTTCTGAAGTTTATTTTGTTAAGGACTAAATATTAGATGGATAAGTGTTTTACTTTAAAGTGTCTCAATGTCTCTTTTTGGAGATTTACCCTCATCTAAACTCAGCTCCTACTCTCGCCCTTGGATATTCATTTTCGATGTCTAAAAGCTCAACATTGTCAACTGAATTCAATTTTTTAGGCTGATATTATCTGCAGTACCTTATACTTTTGTCTACTACTACTTCATTATACTATTTATAATGGTTATTTTCATTTACTTTGTACTGATGAAATTAAGAAACGAAGGCGATATCCAATCAAAAATAGCAAAATGAAATAAAATTTGCTATTTTTGGTAACTGCTAAATGTGCCTGAAAGGAGAGATTTTTATAGCACAAATAAACTGCTTCGCTATGCTAACTACCATTTTCTGTTGCATTCAAAGTAAGGTACAAATTCAACTCTCTTTTTTCATTATTGTTTCTTATAAAGAAGAAAATATTGAATCTGAAAGTCAATGTGCTAGCACATTAAAAATAAATAAAAGGTACTAGACCTACTGTGAAAATACTAACAGCACTTTTAGCACTAGTGTGGTCTATGCATTAAGTGGGCTTCCTGGACACTTTGGTGAGAGTGTCTACAGTATACACAAGACACTCTGGCCTGCATGGAGTAGCAGAGAGGAGCACATGCTTCCTATTAAGTAACGTAAGCACAGTTTAAAATTTTATCTGAAAACTAAGAATGTGTGTGAAAAGCAAAGACTATGGGGCAAAAAGTTTGATATTCCGCCTTAGTCACGAGTAACAGTTAAAATATTATGTGTCAAGCTTGAGATAGAAATCGTATGAGAGCTCACGAATGTATGATACACCGACATCAGATGAAGTATGAGCTCAGTGAAGAACAGTGGATGAAGTGTGAGGAGAGATATAAATTTTTAATATGTGCTCCCCAAAGCCATGGACATAAGATGACATGAGACATATCACAGACTCTAAACTGTACTTTCCTTTATGTTTTTATTGCTTATCCTCGAAAAATCTGACATGATCAGCTCCAGAAGGTTGTTGACCGTCAAAAAATCAATAACAGTGAGGAGATCGGATGTTAAGTCCTCCTTAGAAAAACCGATGCAACCCAGTATGTGATCTGGTGAAGGTCACAGCAATTTTTACAAAGCGGGATGGAGTTTTCTGCCACTATCAAAGGAAAGATATTCAAGGTGGCCATTACTTGTTAGTCTAGCCAGAGCAGTCTGGGAGCCACAATCACATTTGATTTCCAGTAGGGAGCCAGGGGGTGTTCCTGTGTACCATTGGTGCACAGGTGGAATACACCATATTATATTAAATTTACTTTCCTTTATGCTGAAATAATATTCGCTTTCATCGATTATATCTGTAGCGTTACAGATGGTGGACTACTACCAATTATTGTCACTGAAACATGTACAAGTTTAATATATGTAAGACCAAAAAAATGCTATTATTGGTACTCCTGAATTTTCAAAACATGTAGATACAATTTTGGGGCACTCTTTACATTAATATGGTTTCATAAGTGTGAAAAAGCTATATCAGAAATAATATAGAATTTGGGATTTCTGCAGTTGGAAATGTGATTCAGCTCCAAAGCTGGAAATGATAAATATTAATCTGTATATTTTGCTTCGCAAGGCTAGTTGATGCATCAGCTGAACAGCAATAAAATACATTGTTGCTGTCATCAGCCTCACTTGTCTGACAATGGTCAGCACAAGCCCATGACATTCATCGAGGCAAGGAGTCAAAGGCGCCTGTCATTGGTAAGAGCCTTGGGCACCATATAGGTGACAGTCGTCATTTGTCAGTCGTCATATGTCGCACATTTCGTGTGACCCAATGCCGCAGAGGCACTATACATTTACAAACATCCATGCCTTCTCCGGGATTCGAACGTGGGCCCTTCGGTGCAGCAATATCAGAGACACTAACCACTATCCCAGTTGGGCAGCATAAAATTTGTTAAAACTGTTACAAACATCAGTTATTTTCCTAAAATTTATTTAGTTGATTTCTTAAAAGTTTCTCAGAGCCTTTGATGATCATATAAATTTATTTACCTGTGTTGTTATTTTCTTTTTCTGCTTTCGAAACAAACATTATGTACATATATGAAAACATGCAGTTTAATGATATATTGCAACACAACTAAAAAATATTATTTTTAATTGAAACTGAATAAGATCGTAGATGTTTTGAGCAGGAACCTTGGAAAACTAACCTTTTCTCATATTGATAAAGATTTGTAAAGGAAAATGTTTAAAATGTGGCATTAAAACTGAAGACTTGCTGTTCACTTGAAGACACTTGCTGTTCATTGATAGTCCAATAGTAACAGTACTTTTTTTTAAAGAAAGGTAAAGTTGATCTTTTTTTTTTTTTTAGTAGTTTTTATTTTTTTACATCTTCTCTAAAAGAAAGGAAACTAAAGAGATTAAATATTTCACGAGAGGTTTGTAGTATTCGCCGGGTCAATCATATGATTTTACTTTTCATTAATATCGAATGAATCAAGAACAGCTAATGATTTTTGAAAAGAAACAGAACACCAGTAGATAAAGAAAACATTTCACATTTACATCTATAACAAAATCTCTGTTTTTGCCCTGATACTATATTTGCGTTTCAGGAAGCTCCATTGGGCACGCACTATTGGCAATGTGCTAATGGATTCTCTATAGATTCTCGGGAGTCTAGTGCTGGTAACTGAGATCATTGAAAATAATAATTCTATTACGGTGATATGATGTTGCATGGACCAAAGCTACACCTTAACTAAGTTCTTGGCTATGCTGTGAGAATGGTAGCAATCATTGTATCGGCATCATGCAGTGGGCATTGTGTCTATTCTTTTTTGAAAACAGTCATTTCCTTTTCATTCTCCCTATACATTATTTACATGATGGAAACTTTTAAAAAGGAAATTAAATAGAGCCCTTGATATCGTGGTTTTTGATATATATAAAAAACTAAACTAATACTTACGGACTGCTGGACATAAAAAGATAGTTTGCGGTAGGCTTCGCTGTAAGGATTCAAGAGGTCCTTCGTAAACATTCTGTTTGTAATTACTATCTCTCCTTCAACTAGATAAATGCCTGAAATAAAAATTATGCATCCCATTATAAAAGGTCTCAGAATTAGTCATGTACATTTATTTATTTATTTTAATGCAAAATAAATTAAGAATACATATAATTTTGCTTCTCCTTAAAAAAAAAAAAAAAAAAAAAAAAAAAAAAACACCACCTTAGGGGAGAGAGGGGGAAAACCCGCTAGAAGTAAAAGCACTTATGTTCCTTAACAAAGATGACTCAGGCTAGCTAACTTGAATAAATCGATTATTCCATTTAATTATTAAAAATGTGTATCAGACAACGAATAAAGAAAAATAATTTATTTAAGTACTATGCTTCAATTGTTGTCTTGTCCACGAATTTCATGGAAGAATGGTTGCCAGTGCCTCAAGGAGGTTGGATTTCTATTTCCTCCCCAATTTTGAAAGAGAGCACCACGGAGTGGTAGTCCGACGATCTCCCCTCCTCCCCACTACCACTGATCCACACAAGAGGACATTCGCCTCGACATACATTTAGAGTGCTCCCATGCTATACATTTACAAATTTATCTCCTAACCACTATATCGTCTGGGCGGCTACTATGTTTCATATATGGCGATTATATGAAATTACTTACTTCACAGGCTATTTTTGAGGAAAATTTCGTAAGTATTCCCCGTCATAAAAGTGCTGGTTCGTCATGCAATACTGTCAGTTTTGGAAGCCAGAAATTTTCAAAAAGGTTTCTACGGCATAAAAGTTAACAGTGGAAAACAATGGAAGACATGCATGAAAGTATCGACACCGTCATGCAGCTGGATCCATTTACTCCAAAGGCCTAGGGTAACACATTATCTTCGCAAAGTTCGTAGTTAACATTTAAAAGTCGGTACTGAAAACTGACAAAAGTTACTTTCAGGACTTAACTTAATTCTCATTTCGAGGGAAAACAGAACTCACAAACAGTTGTAAGAAAACTGAACGAAAATTATAAGCTCCAGAATAGCAACTGTCAGACTGTGCTGCACTTATGGTTAAGGTACATCAGAGACAGTTTCAGAGGATATACCAGCAGGAATTGAGGTAAAATTGCAAATCAGAAGTTTGCAGAAATAATTGAAGAATTCGAGGGATTTTTTTTCGAGGGATTTTTTCGAGGAAGATTCGAGGGATTTTTTGATTATCAGATAAGTTTGTTCTGTGTTATTATTTTGCTATTTTATCTTCGAAACAAGCTTTTGTGCATATGTGCGAATACATACATATTTCCGCTTAGTAAAATATCTTATAAAAGATTATTTTTTATTCAGAGTGAATAAGCTTGTAGATCTGTGAGCAGGGATCTTGAAAACAAACCTGCCATCATCGGGGATGGAACCAGAAACCTTTCAGATATAACATTAACTACAAACAGAGATCATTTAAAAAAAAATTTCATGCAACGCTGTGCCAGCAGCTGCTTTTTTGGGCAGGGGGGGGAAGATTCGTTTTAAATTGCGAATGAAACCAGTATTTAGAGAGCAGAAGTTAGCAAAACTGGAGCTCAACTGACCAAAGACTTGGTAACCTTATAAGGTATTTCTCCCACTTTCCTAGCGTTTTTCGTGGTGTAGTGGTTCCGCACGCTGGGCCGGTATTCCAGATGCCCGTGGTTCGATTCCCGGCGAAAGCGTTTGCTATTTTTCATCTTGTCTGCTTTAAAAAAAATACCTAATTTCTCTACAACCTTCATAACTGCTGCTTTGATGAATGATTAGTTTTCTGTTCACTGTTTATCGCAAATTAAAGGTGAATCATAGAAGAACAAAAGTTTGTAATTTTGCTTCTGTTAATTGCTTTTAGAGTCATTAGTTTTTTTTTTTTTAAGCTGGAGACGTGAAAAATGAGCAATGCCCTCGCTGGGACTCGAACCTATACTTCTAGATACGCACCGAGTGTGCAACCGTTACACCACGAAGACGTGCTGAAAGGAGGGAGAAAATACCTTATATACCCCCTTTTAAAGGCCGACTGCGGATTAGGCGACCCAATCGCCAAATCCTGGTGGGGACTAATTATTGTCCACCACCTTTTAGTTCGGGCGCCACTGTAAAGACACTAGGTTATTTTGAAGTAGAAGGCAATGTAAAATGAGCAATGTCCTGGAGTCCGAGTCGAAAAATGAGCAATGTCCGAGTGTGCTTACCATTACAACATGTAGGCAGGCTGGAAGGAGAAGAAAATATCTTATATATTGAAGTTGATTTAAAACCTGGACAGACAGTAGTTTACGTTAATTTTGATTTACAGTTTTAGACTACAAATAGAAGCAAACAAATCGTTGGCTTTTATCTTTCCATGTTACGAAAATTCAAAGTACATAGTTATTTAGTTAGTTTTAGACGACGATAATTCAATCCATCTCAGCAAGATAAAGTTTGGCAGAGCAAAGCAGGCTATGTTAAGTTAAACCTTATATCGTAATCCTGTTTCGTAATCCTTCTTCCTTAGATTGTAATACTTCTTCATTATACCGTTATCGTTCTTATTAGTAATTGGGGAAAGGACTCCTTTTAAGGCCGGATTTTATGTCGCCCTATTCTGGGTAGAATTAATAAACATAAACATTAATTTTTTTACCAGGAATTACAATCCGAACCCACTGACGCAGGATTGCTACCGTTATCCACATACTAACTAGGCGACGTTGAATAAATTATATCTGTTTATTAAATTCCGAGCTGGAGTTTAAATTTAGTTTCATCTCAGTCATTGATTTTAAAAAAGAAAATATTTTTTAAATAGGAACTAGGAAAATAAAAGATAAGAAAATTCAAAATATATATACCTTCATCGTCTCTTATAGGCTGTTTATCTTCTTGCCATGTCATACGAATTTCGCCAGCTGAAAACATACAGCTTGTTTAGAAGAAAAAATAGCGAACATGCACAAAGGAAGACAAAATACTTACTGACAAAATAAAAAAATTGTTGCAATATAACACTTTTATCGAAATAATTAAATTAACGTGTACACGCAGGTTTGTTTAAATAGGTAATGAACTCCGTGGTGGCAACATATTCCTATGTCGACCACTTCTGAAAGTAACAAATATTTTTAAGAACATAAATAAGGTAGGTGTTGAGCATCTACTATAAGACAACAGTTCCGCAGAAGACCAGGAGGAGCAGCAGGTAGTTTTAAAAGTATCTTAGTGCAGGTAAAAATATAAAGTCCAAACGCAAGTTAGAATTCATATTAATGGTTCCTACCTAATGACATATATATCGCATCTCATATAATCATAAATAAAATGAAATTGTTTTGCAGCACAATGCCAGAGTAATTTCGTTTTGCAGATAAGAGATACTGAATGAACTAAAATAAATTGAAAAAAAATTAATAAACATTAATTTTTTATTTCTGTTTTGCACTAGTGATTTTCATGCATGAAAATGCGATTTAACACATAGTATCCAAAACATTATGACTACGCATTTTATTTTCTTAAACACTCATTCTACACATAGGACTTAGTTTTTTAACTTAACGCAGCCCGTATTATTTTACATCTATCTAAACGTATTATTTTAGTGCGTTTTAATTATATTATTTTAATAGGTTTTAATTGCGTTATTTTAAACGCTTTCATTACGCTTAAACGCATTATTTTAGCATTTATGTCAGATATATATATTTCGGAAATATATTAAATATAAGATAGTATTGATCCTATATACCTAAGACGTACCTTCACAAGCATAGCCGAGGTTAGTGAGAGATATGAGTTTTAATCTCTTTTTTTAACATTAATTTATTTGTTACAGTTTGATTTGCAGTAGAATAAATTTCTATATAAAACCATATTATTCGTAATTTTTTTTTTAGTTTTGAATGCTGACTGTATCCAGATAACTATTTATTTAAATCTGCATGTTCTGAATTTACAATTTATAAGAGAAGTTTCTTTTTTGCAATTATTCTATATAAAGACAATTAGAATAAATTTTTAAAGACTAAATTGCATGAAACTTAAAATTAAATTGTTAAAATCATTCTAGAAAATCTGAAAAGTTTCAAATTTTAAATTACGTCCCAAAGGGGCGTATTTTAAACATTTTGCATGTTACTTTTATTTATTAAAATTCGTGTTCATCGCCCTTAAACCATAAAATTCAGTTTAAGAGCAATATTGCAAAATAATTTTAAATTGAGCCTATCTTTAGAATTTCCGATACACAGTCTCAGCGCTAGAGATAAAAGTGGTGTTTTTCTGTACAACGTTGCCATTGCTGGCCATGAAATCCTTCAGTTTTTTAATCAAAAATTCGTTAAAGTTTTACAAAATATGAAATCGGTAATAAAATAAATTCCAAATTTCAAATTTGGGCTTTCAGATGCCCATATTCGCAGTAGAATTACGTCATTCGAAATTTGATGACTCTGTACCGTTGTTTTATCACAATGCGAGAAAAATAAATGCATTTATACAGATTCTATCACTGTTTAATTTCTTCAAATATAATACAGGGCGGCAATATTTGGTGGCAAAGATTTGAAAAGTGAAACTCACATTCAGAGTGATTCGACGCAAAATCGCAAAACGAAAACAATCAGGGACAAAGCCCTTTGGACTAATTAAAATTTTTCAGATTATAAAAAATTATATATCAGTTTTTTAAACTGCGAGAGAGTAAAGAAATAAATACTGATGATTGCTACACTAAACTGATGATTTTAGGTTCTATGTATCTCTTTCAGGGACGACCTCAGAGCGGTGCAATCGATGCTGCTACATCGGGTGGATCGAATTTGCTGCGTGAGGCAAAATTTTTTAAATTTATTGAGGCAGAATTTTGGGAATTGCAGAGACTGGTTGTACTGGCGGACAAAAATCCTAGCAGTGATCCTGATCTCTCTCCTGTTTTGCAACAGTTAATGATAACTAAATTTTTCCCATTTCAGTGACGGTACTGGCTACGCATGGCAGCTTTGAGCTCACAAGGTTCTTGCTTCTTCTTTGGGTATTTGACGTGCAATACTCTGCTGGGATATGGTAGCCTTGACCCAAGACTTTTCCTTAACCCTGTCATGGCCTCAGATTTAGCGTTGATGGGGAGTGCAAGTGGCCTAAGCCACGATTTTCGAGAACAACAGTTCCTGAAAGTCACGCTTGAGTGCCATGCCATCATCTAATAAGACATGTTAAAATGTCTTACTTCCTATTGTGGTCTTGCATCTCAGGGTCTTTGCCCCCTTGATCGTCTACGCCCGCCATCGGGTTGCTGTAAGATTCTCTTGTTTGAATTTACTAAAAAGATGACCCCTTTTGTGCAATGGCGATTATTCCGGACTATCCAGGCTAGCTGCGAAGCCCAGAGATAAGCTGTCGCAATAACGGGTACCGAAAATCAATTAAAAACCAATCTCTCGACTAACCATTTTAGCTCATTAAGAAACTCAGAAAGGGTGACATATTTTTTTTTAATTTTAAAACAAGCGAACCAATCATAGCAAAGGCAGCTTCTCTTTACTATCCGAAGCGAGGACTCAGACGATTACGTTTCTATGACAACGCGAAGACTAAGCCAATGACAGAAGCTACCCTTCTTCTCTTAGCAAGGATAAAATTCATAGCTCTCATTTAATGTTACGGTCAGACAAGTGGGATAAGTTATAACAAAAAAGAACAACTTTAAAATTAGAGTACAACTCAGACTTGGACTGGCGTTGACTTTAAGTAAGTTTATCAGAGCAGCAAAAATTAAAATTCAATGCATAAAAGAGAAAATCAAATTATAATTATTACGTTTTAAAAGTTAGGCATTACTGTCTTATTATAAAAGGTATTACTTTTGCGAATTATTGTTATATAGATCTTTGAATTTGTGTTATGTATTTAAAACACCTTATATTCACATATGCCCCTTAACTGAGGATATTCACATAAAATGCCCAAGAACTGATCTCCTGGCATTCCAAAGGTTTTTAATTAAAGATAAACATCAGTATCCAAAGTTTCAGAAAATTATGCAACGACTTTCTTCCTACGGCCTAGATCTTTGTCAAGTCCACATACTGCTTAGTGAACTTTTACATGCTGTGATTATGGATAAAATGGCTTCCCTCGTGAACTATATAAACTGCAATAAACCAATGTATCTGAAATAACCCATGGACACCCACCTATTTAGCATTATTATTACAATTAATTTTAACATTGTGTTGCCAGTACTAATATAATTATCTCATTATGTTTATCTGTTTTTTAATTATGTTTATCTCCTATTTTTGTTGCACCAAATCAGATGTTCAATTTATCTTTTGAATCTCAAATTGTATTCCGACTATTTTGTAATCTACTTATGTTCTACATCATTATTTTAGTTAAATACTGGATGCAGGGCGTACTGTGAGATAGCACGATGTACCATAATAAGCAAACTCTAGACCTTTTGGAAAGCTTCAGTCTATGTAAATTCCTATAAAACTTGCAATTCCCCCCTTTTTTTAAGAGTTAGTATGGGAAGGCATTACCAGTTGACCTATGGTACATCGCTGGTGTCCCCCATACTTTTACCTTATGTATTTATACGCTGAGCTCTCTTTAAAGCTACTTAATTTTCTTTTTATTAATATTTTTGCTTCTTAACTTGAAGATCGCAATTTGAAGAAATCACCAGGCATTTTATTTTGGGAGCAGTAGACATGAAGAAGTATACAATGTTCTCTCCGGAATTCCAACTATGGGCTTCTCAATTGTTAGCCGGACGTGCTTCCAATTATATGACGGAAGCAGGAGAAGGGAAAAAAGTCGACAAATCCTGGTGGTGACGAATAATCGTTCAATGCATTTTTAATTTGGGCGCCACTGTACTGTCATTAAGTTTATCAGAGCAGCAAACATGAAAAATGTGCAATGCCTTTGGAGGAATTAGAACTCCGGACCTTTTGTTGTGCTTCCAAAATATACCAAAAGGACATGTGGGAAGGATACCTTAAAAATTTTTCGATAACATCTTTGTAGGTTCAGGTTACTTATCTGTTTGATTTCATATTTTATACTCTATACTTATCACTAGCTTTAATGTAATATTCCGTAGTCTGTAATGTTTACTAATCGTATTATGTGTTCTCCGGGCTAGATGTTTCCTCCTTTCTACAGTTTTCTCTGTTTCATACAATATTATGGCGTTTCTAAAGAGATCCTGTACTCACTCTGCAAGAAATTAAGATATTTATTTCTTATAGCACAGATAACAAATGCTGAGCATGACAAAGCATTGTTTGCCCTCTTCCAAAGAAATACGGAATTGAATGATCGGAAAGAGTATCTAGACCATAGTTTCTCAGTATTAACGTTAAGGAGATTTTAGACTTGCTAAAGAGACGTGGTTGAAGCTTTTACCATCCGGAGAAATCTCTGAGTTTTCTGCCGGGGGCGGTCTCTGGATTCGGTGTTCCTCTTGATGCAAAAGCAAACTGAAAAAGGTCAGAACAACGTATAGGAAATAAATTAAACTCCATGTTTAGTTTATAATTTTTCCTCGATGCTTTGTCTAGATCTAACGTCCAGGAACCTAGTGAATTATGTAGCGAATTCCTGAATACAATAGTTACTACAGAGACGTGAAAAGGGTTAAAATACCTTTTATTCACTCAAAGAAATAATAACAAATGGCTCCTTCTCGGGCTTACAGGAAAGCCTCCACTTGGACTTTTAAATCTGGATAAGAAAATAAGAAACTAATCTAATACAAAACTTAATAGACTTAGCCCAAGCTAGACACAAATACCTAACGTAGTTGGCCCTTAAATTAAATTTGGAGGCGATTCTTAACAGGCACGTGCACGTACAATACGGCCGAACGTAATAGCTTCAACAACGAAGTAGCCAGAAGGCAAACATGCGCCACTAAGGACCTCTAAGCACTCTCTCTCGCGGTAAGTTGAGCTTCCTTTAAATAACTCCTTCTTCTAACTCATTTGCATTCAACGAAATTCTAAAATTTCATTCTGGTTAGAAGCTGTAAGTGGGAAACAAGAACTGAAAGGAAAGGATTTCAAAATTAAAAATAACTGTTATAAAAGTAAAATACACCTTACAGGTCGAAGCAAAATTTTAATCCTAATAAAACCTTTAAAATTATTATTTCGTTTGAAAAACTGTCGACAACATTGTAGAAGGTCTATTTGATTCCTTCAGTTCCTGTTATGTACACAAAAAGGTATCTTAAATACTTCTTAAATTATTTTAAGTTAAAAAAGCTTTTCTCACAGCTAACAACATTTAAGCATGTGCGAGGAAAGTTCGCAGTAGTACCACAATCTTTAGTGCTTTGTTCTTGACATTTTTGTTAGAATAAACTACAAAAATTCAGAAGGACCATTCTTCTTCGTCTCTGTTTCGATTTCCCTAGTTTCTTTGAATGTGAAATCTAAAGTAAAAAAAAAAAAAAAAAAAAAAAAAAAAAATTGCTCAATATACACTGGTGGAAGAAATTAAGAGAATTTTCATATTTGATCTACGATCTCCAGAACTGCTGGACAGATTTTAATAAAATTTGGTGTGAACATAGCTTGATATAATACAAACAAAATAAACATTCAGCAGTTATAACACATGTTCGTGCGTCTATTATAACTGTTGGGTCTGTTATAACTGTCTATTATAACTGTAACCTCGCGGGAGTCTGAAGGTCTGAAACAGCGGTTGCAGAAGACACAAAATAAATGGGTTAATAGGGGTATGGTCTCCTCTTTGTGTCATACTGGAAATAAGGCAGTTTATCAGTGCCTGCGGCAATTGGTCCCACTCCTTCAGCAACGTTGTTTTCAGTTCCTGGATGGTTCTCGGAGGGGGGTTGCGAGTTGCAGTTGCCCTCCCCAGAGCCTCCCAGACATGATCTATAGGGTTGAGGTCTAGAGACCTGGCTGGCCAATCCAACCGGCGAATATCCTCACTCTCGAGAAATTCGTCGACCAGAAGAGTTTTATGTGGCCTTGCGTTATCGTCTTGTAAGATGACCTCTGATCCACTGCACCCCAGAAAAAGCAAACATAGCGCTCCAAGACCTCATCCTTGTACCTCACACCAGTCACACAGCCTCTGTCAAAGACTTGAAGAGGTGTGCGCCATCCAACATGATGCTTGTCCAGACCATTACACCGCCAGCATCATAATTGTTGATTTCGCAGACATTGGGGTGTAAGTAGCGGGTCCCTGGCTCTTTCCATATGAAAGTACGGCGAGAATCGGTGTTTAGGCTAAAACGGGACTCGTCGGTGAACAGAACAATCGCCCATTTCTTTCTCCGTACTCCTATCACTATGCTGCCTGCACCATGCTAATCGGACTCTCCTGTCCACAGATGTGAGCGAGAAGCAAACAGCCGGTCTTCTGGCAAACAAACCCTCTCTCATTCAGTCTTTTGGAAACAGTCACTCTTGTTACACGGATTCCTGTGGCTGCATACAGGTCCCGAGAGAGCTGAGAAGCTGTAGCCTCTATGTTATGCCTCACTAAAATGGACAAATAGCGATCTTCTCTGGCAGTCATGGCTCTTGGACAACCTGGCCAGGCTTTCTCTCGATGGATCCAATATCCTGGAACTGTTTCCATATGTTACACACGACGCTGGGAGTTAAATTAAACACTCTGCATATCTGGATTTGCGATTGGGCCTGCCTCTAGCTCTCCACAATTCGTCACCTCATTCCATCATCTAAACGTCGGTGGTTACTCGTTTTTACTGTTTCGGTGTGAATTTAGCCGAGTGCTGCAAGATAACACCAAGGTGTGCTAGCGAACGCAATTCATCTTACCCTCCACGCGCTTATAAAGCCTGTTTTTCTGCTGGCTCCGCCTACACACAAGTGCACGCTTACGTATTTACCGTACAAGATTTGAATTTTTATCTAGAAGCCGTGGTTGTTCCTTCAGTTCAGTTCTTTTCATGCAATTCGGTAAAATATGCAAATTCTCTTAATTTATTTCACCAGTGTAATTTCGTATAGAAATTCTGAATCTCGTTATTCTTTAGCTGCCTAGACGATCCGCCCGACTAACTCCTGCAAAACAGCAAACACCGCCCCTTATTCTACACCCTTACGCTGCTCATCCAAGAGTGAGTAAGGGAGCATTAAGAAGCAAGTTAACATTCTGCCAGGATGGCTTCTCCTGTGTTCGGCAATGACTTAAGTCGGAAGCCACCTTGAAGGCCTACTGTAAGTTCAAACATTATCAACCTATTCAAATGAGAACTTTTACAATATTCAGTTTTATCTGTAATCTCAAACCTTACCTGCGAGACAAATGACTGTTGTTACGACGGTTACGAGGACAGTAAATAAAACTGCAATTGCTCCCAGCCAGAAAAGTAGTTTTCCATCGCACTGCTTTTTAGCATAAGAGCAGTTTTCTGACCAACTGTTCTGTTTTCTTGGGCAAGGGGCTACTTTTCTACAAGGACCTACTTTGGCGCTCAATCCGGCCTCACTGTCATAAAATGTAGTACTGTCCACCTGAAAAATTTAGAAAAGAGCACTGAAATCACCAATTACATTCATTAAACAAATTTCAGTAACATATTGTAGTTATAAGTAAAATATATTGCAGATAGAAAATTTTTACATTGATTGCAAAGACATAGTTTAAATTTATTAAAAGAAAAAAAGTTTATACAGTAATTTCACGCTAGAAATGTTTGATTATTAAAATGCCATCAGTATTTTAAAATACAAAATGTTGGCCGAATAAAATTAGGAAAGAATTAGAAGGAAATTTCGCTACTAAAAAATAACGTTGCAAATTTTATGAGATGCTAAGTTGTTTTGCGAGTAACATAGAACAACATTGACTGTGCTCTTTTACTAATTTTGCTTATTAGTCCAAAAAGACTTTGAGTCCCGAAGGACTATCTATTACTTTCGCTTTAGCATTTTGCGTCGGACTCCTATAAATGTCGGTTCACTTTTGAAACTATTGCCACAAAATGCTAAGAGTCCTGCAATATATTTGAAGAAATTAAATAATGAAAAATCTGTGTAAATGTATGTGTATTTCTCGCATTGTGATAAAATAACGGTACCTAGAGCCATCGAATTTTGAATGACGTAATTCTCCAACGAATATCGGCATGTGGAAGACCAAATTTGAAATTTGGAATTTGTTTTATTATCGATTTTCTATTTTGTAAAACTTTAGCGAATTTTTCATTAACAAACTCGAGGATTTCAAAGCGAACAATGGCAACGTTGTGCAGAAAAAACATTTTTATCTCCAGCGCGTGAGTTCTGTGTGGGAAATTCTAAAGATATGCTCCTTTTAAAACTATTTTGCGATATTGCTGTTGAACTGGATCTTATGGCTTACGTGCGAAGAACATGTTATTTAATAAAGAAAAGTAACACACAAAATGTCAAAAAACGCCCCTTTGAACATAATTTAAAATCTGAAACTTTTCCGGGTTTTTGTTTTTTTGTTTGCTTTGTTTTGTTTTTAGGCTGGTGCGCTAATCGGCTTTAATACATAACAGCTATTCAGTTGATCGTTTTAACACATTTCATTCAACATAAACTCTTCTATCCTAGCATGGGATTTCTGTCACTTTTACTTCCTTATAAAAAGATACTCTTCTACATCAAACCCCACCAATAATGACCTTTAAATCCTGTAATTGTAACTGATATCCTTTAATATGAACAAAGAAATGCAAAAAATACATATATAAATTCGTAAATATGTATCATTGCATTCATAATCAAAATACTTTTAATCAAAACAGTGTTATGAATGGAGTCCAAATTTTCACACTATTTAAAATTTAACTACACAGAGGCTGTTTACACATTTTTAGAATGATTTCGACCTCATCTAATTAAATGTTTAAAACGGAAAGAGTGTTTTTGAAATATTCGGCCTGATAGCCTTTTTTCTGGGGTGTAAGTCTGCATCGTGATTTTCATGATAAAAGGGCCTTCCATAAAATTTCCAGGGGTATTGATTTCTAATCCTCTTCCACTACTTTCAAGCTCTCCAGAGTCGTGGCGGGTTTACGCTTAGAAAGAGCTCTGTTCAAGAGAGCAAAAGCACAGTATTCCACATGTGGAATGTCAAGAGACTTTACAGGAGTACGTAAGTGACAGGTATATATGCAACACCTGTATCAGTCTTCATTTTATCAGGGAATGGAATGATACTTTTCGAAGTATGACTTGTTGCTTGATCTTCGTTGAGTTTCACTCTTTGAAAGTCAATGGGATAAAGAAAAGGAATTTTTTCTGTAAATATCGGACGTAAAACTTTCGATTGATAGTATGTTTAGTTTATTTTAACATTTTTTCCACTCTTATTTTTTATTTCCCGCTGTAAGCGGATGCTGCGACGATCATAAACACTTTACTGAAACCTTCTTTCCATGGACGGAACCAGATTTATTAATTTATTTTTTCTCTTCGTTTCCGATAATAAATATTACCCTTTTTTTGTTCGATTCATTTAGGTAAATCCATACGTTATCAAGGGCCACAATTTATTTACATTTATCTTCCACTAAATAGTTTTAATAGAGAGTTCTACAAATTGTTCTGCGCTGAGCCACATGCCTCGGCAAAAGCTGGCGAACATAATGTTTTTTAGCTTTATAAGTTGTAAAGCTTGGAATGTTATTTTATTTTACTACAGATATGTTTAAATACTTTGCAACTGATTTCTGGGTCGGCGGATTTTCTCCTGTCACCATCGATTTAACTTTAGAAACAGTACGTACCTTTTTGGGGTTTTCGTTTGGAGTCATCTTTCCAAGTAAAAGTAATGATTGAGGGTTTTTCCCTTTCCGATTAATAATATTGCTTATTTTGCGCGTATGTTTTTGAATTACGGAATAGGAATATTTTTTTTTCGGAAAGCACAAAAACGTATCCTTCAATCATAACTTATTTACATGCGACAGTCTGAAAGAAGAATAATTTTAAAAGTAAATATTTATTACTTCAAATAATAAGCTGTTGCTAGAAATTTTTATTGCAAAACGTTTTGAAATAGTTCTAAAAGTGTGTCAACACCCCTTTGTAATTTTAAAAGGTTCTTATGTCAGAAACAAATACAAAGTTTTAAAATTTCTTGAAATTCTAATCAACCATTTCAGAGAAATCATGCATGTAAGCAGAAAAATCATATTTTTATGAAATCTTAATTAATAAAGAAAACACCTCAGATCTTGTAAGCATATTGCTTTCTTAAAATTAATAAATATGCAGATATATATGCTAATACGTTACCTTTTCTATCATGCGCAATTACACGTATATGCATAAAACTACATACAAAAACATTTTAGGTATATTTCAAGATATGTAATGCCAAGGATTTCCTGAAATGCAATTTTAAACAAACTATCTGGGCATGTAAATGGCAAATGCATTGAATTACAACTTAAAAAATTTAATTACATTGAATTAATTAAATGTAAACTGTCATATATTACATAAAAATAAAAATTTGCACTTTTAGCCCATTTGGCGCAAATATAATTTAAGCTGTGGCTCACAAAATGTAGGTCGTGACCCAGAACTAGGTCAAGAGTCAATACTTGACAGTTGAGAAAAACTTTTAAATTAAGCATTTAAATTGCTTTGCTACGCGGTCAGCCTTCGTCTGGCTTTTAAATGCACCGTAAAAATGCCTAAAGGGAACAACACCAAACATTAAATTTAAAACCTGCACAGAATTTTACTCTTCAAAACAAGTTTATCAAAAAAATTCAATAAAAATCATATATTAAAAAAATACAATGAAATAAGCAATATCCCTTAATACAAATATTAATTATCTTAATAAATAAATTAACCAATTTCCCAGTTGCAAAATCTTAGGAACTCAAATGGTATAAAGTAAGTTAAAAACCTTTGTTTTCTAAAAAAAAAAAAAAAAAAAAAAAAAAAAAAAAAAAACCGCAAAATTTTTTATCTGATTAAAATTATATATAGTTATATAGTTTAAACCATAATATAAAAATATTACAATGAAATAAGCAATGAATCTCATATTTTCAAAAGAAAACAGTCAGCAGTTCAGTATCCTAAGCAATGAATGAAAAACTGTTGGTAAAAACCACATTTCTAAAAGAATGAAACTATCATCAGAAAGCAATAACCAATCAAAATTGTGCTTTGTGGATGACATAATTCAAAATATACCAACCATTAGCTAATAAAGAGGGAGGGTGAGGAAAGGAAATTATTTCTGTTTGTGCCTCGCGAGAATCATGCGCCTCAGAATAAGAAGATTGAGTTGTGCGTGTTGCCTATCCAAAAATAAAAAGAAAGCAAACATTTTATCTCATATTTTCAACAGTCAGCAGTCCAGTATACAAAGTACTGAATGGAAAACGTTGCCAAAACCACATTTCAAAAAGAATGGAACTGTTGAAAATGATGCGATGTCATCCAAAAAGATAAAATAAAATAATAATTCAAAAAAATATGATTCGAATTTTGAAAAAAATCGCTTTTTTTTTAAAATGCAACCACAATGCAATACTGGCTCTTGTCTAGATTTGCACGTATGTACCAAATTTCGTAGCCCTGGGTTTATTAGCTCAAGTTTAGCACGAACGAAAGACCACACGCACAAACAGACTCTTTCTTTTATTATAAGTAGAGATTACGCGCATTTATTTGTAATGGTTAATAATCATACACATATATTTATTACTATTTCTCTGTTACAGTATTCTATATTAATTCTGTGTTTCTCATTCTCTAATCTCGTTTCTCTGTTTCAGCAACTACATGTCACTTCAAACTGCATCCCTAAAAAGTGAACATCGTAAGAGATGCACGTTGCAATAAATGTTACGCCGCGATGCATTTAAAAATTAAAGCCACTATGCTAAACCATTTTCGAATCACTCAATGATAGATTTTCGTTTTCTGCAGCAAAATCCTCTCAAAACGTGAGAATCTTTCTGTTGAAGTTAAACGCTAAGTAATCTGAAATAGGCCTTAAAAATGCTTCATCAAAATAATCTCTCTTTTTTTAAATGAAAAAATGGTATATTTTTTATTGAACAGAAAACCACTGTTAGTGAAGTAAAAGCTTTTTATCTTAGTCCAGTTACAGATTATGATTAAGCATTTTAAAATATTCTACTCATAACAAATTAGAAAATCTAATGTTGACACAATATGATATCCATGTACGACATATTAAATTATATACATTTTCTGCAGCAAACTTATTTCCCCGAAATTCATTAGAGACCTACAATGGCTCCCAAAAGTGTTCGTACACTTATGATTTTCATTGAAATAGGGCTCTATCCATTAATTGAAAGTAAACTTTCTGAATGAGATTTTAATAATAAGATATATAATCTATTCGTAACAAAATTACATGAAATATTTTAAGAAGAGAAGAAATATGCGCCACGGTATTCCACAAAACGTATTTTCATTATTGGAACCACCTATGTATGCGTTCTCCTACATCCCCTCCATCTATGTAGGAGAACGATACAGGA